AGATACGGGGGCCAAACCTACATGTCTCTCCGCTGGACTGGGCCACCCCCTCGGCCCCGTTACCCAGTTGATTTGGAGGTGTCAGTTGTTGTTGGGGTGATAACGATTTGCTTGTAATGCGCCCCCCCCCCCCCCCCCCCCCGCTTATGCCGGGGCACCTCAGCGCGTTTCATACGCGATAAGCAACTTGCATCGCATTCGTGCGGGCTAATTCTGGAATATGGCAAATTTGGACCCAGGCGCCAGCAAACAGAGCCCTCCGTCACGGATCTCTAACCTCCACAAAGTGGGCTTCGCGTGGTTTTTTGGTTCATACACCCGGAATAATAACCGGGGCAGCGTGCCAGATTTGAACAGTGAACCTCCGCAAGCAAGCAGGGAACATTCCTCTCTTCACCATCCCCACCTGCGGCGCTCACTACCGACAGCAGTCTTAGACCCTCGAGCGAGTGAGAGAGCGAGCGAGCTAGAGAGCAAGCGGCTGCACGAGGACGGGTTGGGGTGAGACAGCTGATGGGTGAATTTTTTTCGAAGCCTCACGACAAACTTAATGCTCATCAGGGAGCCAAGCACCGACCTGCACTCTCTCGCGCGTAATCTGCAGAAAATTTTATTGCCATTTTTCCTTGGAAAGGCCACGCTGTCATCACGTCGGCGGCGGGATGAGGAAGAAGGCTGAATTACTGCACCTCGCATGCCCGCTCATTTACACGCATGCGTTTATTTATGAACATGCGTGCGTGGATGAGTAATTTAATTGCATTGCCTCCTCGCCCGCGACGCTTAATGAACCCCGCCAAACGAGGCAATGGAACACGATGATTCCTCGCCCATTCGTTCTCCGTCCCCACCACCCCCCCCCCCACTCCTCCTCCTCACCAGCACCACCGGTGGCCGAGGACCTCTCACCACCGGATTCAACGTCGATGCGCGACCACACTTCGCTCAAACTGTGATAGTGCTGTTTGACGGCTATGGCTCTTTGGGACCCTGTGCTCAGTCGACAGCTGTGTTTAAAAACAAAACACGTCTAGAAATAGCAATGGCGCCCTACGCTCTGCTCTCGACAAAATCACCGCTCTCCTCCCTGCAGGATCACCATCGGGGGCGAGGAGACAAGCAGCCCACTCAGCTTCGTACGCGCAGAGGAAGGGAAGACATTGAGAGCTAAAGGGGGGGGGGGTGGTGGTGAGCGCTCGACAAGAAAAATAATGAATTAATTGCGCGGCTCATTACACCCAATTCAGGATTCATTTCCGGCAAAAACCATCGGCGCATAACGTGGCCGAGAGACTCGCCGGCTCTCCGCCCGCCCCCACTCCTGCGGGGTTTATTATACCGGTAATTATGGACGATTTACAGATCTGCAAGTCCTTACAACCCGCTCGTATGACCTTCGTTAAAGGGGGGCCATAGAAAAACTCGGGGGGGCGCTCGATGCAGTCACCGTTAAACAAACTGTAGACGAATGTTAAACGCCAAGCGGACTGAGTAACGACGCGATGGGGAGCGCTCTGCCCTCGCCCTCACCACCCCCCCGTGTGTGCGTTCGTATGGGGGATGGCGATGACGTGAGGAGACCATTTTTCAGCAGTGCACAGATTGTGGCAGAGGATTATGATGAAACACACATTATATTTTTCTTGTGGCCATGTAATAATTTGGACGAATTTTTGTCGCGAGACCCTCCACCACACGACATAGCCAAACAAATTCAACTGTCGCCTGTTACGACCATTTTAACGGCACGCCAATTGCTATTGTTTCGGCTCGCCCTGCGCTGAGTTGCAGGAGCAATCCTCACAACCAGGGAATCCATGCAGAGCGTTGCCAAGTTAACCCTTGTCGTGCGAGTCACGAGCACTACTAACGACTACAAAATACGGCAAACATTCGTTTGAGGCTGCGTCGAGCATCATCGGGACAACCGCCATTAAGTCAAAATAGCATCCAGGAGGTCAGAGTGCATCGTGTAAATGTAGTTTATCGTGTGGAAAGTGTGTATACGTATACATATGTAAAATGTGGTGCATCGTGTATGTATGCATATGCAGCGTATAGCGTAGAGTGTCGAGCATCCTGCTCTGGCATTCACCCTGTGCATTTGGAGAAACGCTGCTATGCCCATCACTTAATTGTCCTAATTTAAATAATTTTATCCGGCTGCCTCCACCTGCTGCAGATAGTTTGACAGCTGCGGGGCTGAGTGAGTGCACTTAGTTGTGGCCGGACAATCGGAGTCCACTTTGATCATTCGGTGGTGGGAGAATCATTGCGAGACCACTTCGTGAATATCAATTCACGCCAGAAGAAAAAAATGTGTGTCTCATGAAGCGCGGAATGCACTCAACGAGGCCACAGCCGCAGGATTTTTGGGCGATTTCCCTTTGATGTCAAAATCTTAATATGTGAGTGTGTGCGTGTGATGTGTACATGTGAATGTGTGTGCAGTGGGGATCGGCGACTCACGCGCACGGGCGCCTGTCTTGGGAAGATTGCCCCCGAGGGAATTCACCGATGGCACTCGGCAAAGCCAAAGTATCACCCTCACTAGCGCTGCGCAGCCACAACATATTCATGTCGAAAGGTAATGGAAATGTGTGTTGTGTTTCTAATGAAGATTTATACGTAAACAATGACTCACTTCACAACCCTGCATCAATACCTTTCCATCACCCCCACCCTGCTGCTTCACTACATCCACAGATGCATTGTGGGCCCAACCCGAGGGTTTCCATGGCGAAATTCCTCACCAATGCAGCTGTCGGTTAAGGAATCGCTGAATGTGGCTTTTACAGGATGGCAGTGTGGTGGTAATGCCCGCATCTCATAGCAAGAAGGGGCTGGTTTCGATCCCCGAAAAAGAAAGGCATACGAGTCAGGAATCGAACCGTTTCCACTGCGCCACCCTCCACAACGGCATCACAGAAGCCCAGGATGTGGCCACATGTCGACACTCACTGGAGTATCTTGCAAACAACCCGGTACCCTAAAGGTAATGATTCAAATAATTATCATCAGCAATGATCAATCCACTGCAGGAGGAATGCCTCCCCATGTCGCTCACCACCTCTCTGGATCTCAAGATGCAATCATCCATCCAGTACCTACACGTTAAATTATTTCATCGCTCTATCTCCGCGGTGGATGTGTCTTGGGAGCATTGCATTCTTTGGCTGCCGCTCCGTTATCGGTCTCGACCATGGGCCATTGTCCCCGCTGGCGGTGACGCTCCGTGCCCAAGCCCCACTCACTTCTCCGCACAGCTTATGTGACGTCATCAACCAGCGTGTATTCTCTGATCCACGTGCTCCTCTTTACGTTTGTCAACGTGAAGCCAAGCATGCATCTCGTCATCTCCATGCTGCTTTAAATATTCACGGCAAATATTCACGGGCGTGAAGTCGCTGTCCGGCCGCCGTCCACGGCGGGCACCGTGGGTAATGTGCCATCATTCTGCGTAAAATGTGCAGGGCTGTGTGAGTGCAACAATCATTATGGAGCAGCACCGGTGCCTCGCAGGGAGGGAGGAAGGTGAGTCACTGCAGCTCAACCAGGTGGAATCATTCAACGTCTCTTCTCATGGGTGACAGGTTGGCTGCGCAATGCTAACACTCACTCCTGAAAGCGAGAAAGGCCAGGGTTCGATTCCTTTCAAAATTCGGCAGTGCTCGGCAACCTATCCAAGTTAGTGGGGCACATAGGCGACCCTTCTTCCCCTCAGTGGGCCACAAGCTTGAAATCGTGCTTGTGACTAATCATGACCCCATGCATTACGCTAAAGACAATGAGACCAGGCCACCATGGGAGGATCCACAGGCCGCAGGTTGCCCACCACTGAAATACAGAGTTTGTATGTTCTCTGCCTGTTCCGCATGGGTTTCCTCCAGGTTTTCTGGTTTCCTCCCATAGCTAAAATAACAACACCCAATGTAGCTGGTATTGGCCACGTCCCAATGCTAGAAACTTACCTGCACGTTACTCAATTTGGATCACGTACAACAACCATCGGCACCTACTGTAAAAAAAAAACGTCGGAAAGACCCACCTAAAAAGTGGTCTTGCAACTTGGCTCGGCTTTCCTGGGTAAACGAACACGATCTAATCATACAAAAACACTTTTTTGTATGACACTTTTTTTGCTGATTGGCCGTGTCGGGTGGTGGAGGGTTACGACACATTTATAAATAACGCGATACAAAAACATATTCAGTATGTCCGAGCACTGCTGCAGCAAATCCGCAGCACAGCCACAAACGGCACGTGCCGGCCAAGGGGCCACAAATATTTACGGGCACCAAGTGCGCTGCCCACGCCGGCACCACGCAGGGCGGGCACCGTGGGTAATTTGCCCATCGCTCTCTGTAAATCGTGCTCGGCTGCATAAGCGCGACGTTCATTTCTGCTGCACAAAGCAGCGACGAGGCAGGCTCGCCGATCGCCGGGCCCACGCGGCACGCTAATTAGATTTAAAATAAACGGACCTGCAAGCAACATCGCGCGTAAAGCCGCCACTCCCCCCCACTTTTGTGCGGGACGGCAATTTCCACGGCTTAAGCGCGTTTGCGTGGGCACGCGGGGACCAACAGAAATAGCGAGTGACAGTTCTGAGCACGGCCACATACGTCAGCGCCCGTATGCACACACGCACACTCACACCGCCGCACCACTAAGAATAATACTAATACGACAGCCATACAGTATGGAGAGATATGCAGCATGCAATGACTGAGTCTAAGAATACTGATGATGTGCAGGAGTATCTCAAGGTATAGATATATATCTATATAGGGGAGCGGCCAGGACACGGTCTGATTGCATATGTAACACGATTTTTGTTCCTGGGTAGTAAGTGTTATTTTCTAATTGCTTATGCCTCAAAAGTATAGAAAATGGCTATTATTCCCTACAAACTTTGCTTTTGTGACCAGCGGCACCGGAACCACCAGATCATTTGACAACTTTGTGCCAACTCTCGCCAGACGGACATGGCCTCTCACCTCTATGAGCTTGCGTTCGTAGGTGCTTGCCAGCTCCTCCGTGTCCACCAGCGGGCGGGGCTCCGGCAGGGGCAAGGGGTCTGCCTCCCCCAGCCGCAGTGCTGCTCCTAGTGCAGGGAGCAGGCCATGGTCGGAGTGGGTGTCGCAGAGAGAGAGAGGGAGGTGAAGTGAGTCACTGAAGCTCAATCAGGTGGAATCTCTCAATATTTCTTATCATGGGCAACAGGGTGGCTCAAAGCAAAAAGGTCCTTGGTTCGATTCCTGACTTTCAATATACGCAGTTTGAATATTCTCCCCTGTTCTGCATGGGTTTCTTCTGGGTTCCCCGGTTTCCTCCCTGAAGAATTACATGCAAATTACGCAAATAGGGGCTTACGCACAGCAGCAGCATCACCACCTACTGGGACAAGCTTGGCAAGACCCTTCTGAAAAAGAGTCTTGAGATTCAGTGAAGCTTTCCTGGGTAAACAATCATGGAAATAATAATGAAGTGAGTGGAAAAGTCACGCGTGGATTCCCAAGGGGAAACCCCTCATGGACGGGGTTCATTGAGGAAGACATGGGCTGTGATAACCAGGCTCCCTCCATATGAACGATGCAGCCAAATTTGCATTATAAGACCCTCCACCACCCGACACAGCCAAGTAGATTAAACGGGCACGTGGCGTCAAGTGCTTAACGATGCACCGGTTATTACTGTTGTTGTTGTTTCAGCTCAGTCACCGGGTGAGTTTAAGAATAACTCTCAAAGTGGAAATTTAGCAGAGATTTGATGCGCGACGTTTCACACAGGACTGTGTCAGGCATCTTCAGGATGCGATGCAGGAAGTCAGAATAAAATCCATTCCAGGTTCCTGGATTTTAGGAGGATCTCACGACAGAGATTTGACATGATAATTACGTGGCCTCACCTAAAAATGTAATCATGAATCATAACACTGGCTGCGAAAACCTACGCATTACGTTAATTAAACCATATCTAATAGAGAGGGTCCTTCCCTGTAAACATATGACAGTTTACCAGCATTGATTCATGTGAGCCTGACTGCTGATGAGACACCAAATATTGAAACCGGTCCATATTTTTACTTATGTTGAACCAAACGCTGCTGAAATGACTCCCCGGAGGTCCGTGTGGCCAAAGGGATGTGTACAAACCTATTTTATGCTTTACGTGGAGGAACGCATATTTGGAGGGGAAGGCGGCGCTCCCCCCGCTCGCTTATCACTCAAACGCACCATTCCTTGCCAACCGTGCACACCCATAGCACGCGGAAGATAACCAGGCCACCGGCCAGGTGGCTCAGAGGTCCAGCACCGAGCTGCACGCCGCTGATATTCTGGCTTCGAATCCAGGCAGCCGCCCATTGATGATTATGCCGGGTCCTCGCAGAGCAGCGAGTCGATGGTCTCAAAATCAAAGGCATTCAATTTGCTGTTGTTTTTTCCTTCATCTTGGCACATTCAAGCTCTGAGAATAAAAAAAAACCCGTGACTAACAATGCAATGTGAATATCATGCAATGTGCATCTCTGTTGCCTGGAGAGCTGGAACTGGAACGCCTCACTAGATTAATCTTCATATTAAATCACGCACGCAATCTCGCTGCGTCTCCGCCGTGAGGAACGTGACGCTGGAGCACGGCGGGCAAGAGGGTGCTGCCCTCGAGCATGGATGAAGGGTCACTTAATTAGAAATAATAATTTTGTACATGTGGTATTCACGCCGGTCTCATAGCGCAAGGCGATCAATGCGAAGGAGGTCGTTTCGTGGACACAGTCTCTAGCAGATCCACCATAGGGTCTGATGTTGCCGTAATCCCAAATTAGTTCTTTGCAGGAAAATGTTTGAATGCCAAGAGTGCGATGAGGATAACACTAGGGGATAAAATGACAGACAAAAGGAATAAAAAAAAATCCACCGCTCTATTCATTTCCTGCCCTAACGAGTGTTTCAAGCACCACGCGAAGGCGCTTTTAACTTGAGCCTCGCACTTCAATGCCAGCAGGGCCTTGCAGCTGCCATGGGGACCCCCCACTAGGTCGGCTCAGCCTAAAAATACGAGTGCTTAACACAACATGTCATGACTTAAAGCTTTCGTGACTGCAGGAATTCATATTCTTTGGGTCTTTCGGTAAAGTCACGTAGAAACGTGATGTAGATACATGACTTTACCGAAAGACCCAAGGAATACAACATGTCATGTCGACGCCAGTTATGATAAGATAGCCACGGCCAGGCATGGTGCCTCCCTCTGATGCCCACCCTCTGTGCGAGTCTTGGATGTCACGCAGTGAGAACTAAAGGCGCTCTCTGACAGCCCCTGCCTAGAAGAGGCCTCCGCTTTGAAACTGTGGCGGTCCCAGCCAACGCAGCCACTGTCCTCCCCCCCACCCCCCTACAATTTCGAATTTCAGAGCCTCGACACACACAGGAAGCTATCCACGAAGCTCCTGTGACATGCCTTGAGGCCTGGTTTAATATGGGACGACATGAGGCCTGCACAAGCATTGGATCTGAAACACGCTCGTGAAGAAAGTACAACATCATCATCATCAGCCGTGATCATACAATTGCTGGATGAAGATCTCCTCAGACTGCCGCCACCTCTCGCCATCGTGCGATTTGAGAATTCGCTAAGCACCTGCACATGAACATATCTTATCGCTTCATCTCCTCGTTCGACGTACTCTCATGCGCGTTCCATTCCTTGGCTGTCACTTCCATTATTATTCTTGACCATTGTTCATCAACCCTTCTGGCCATAACGCGTTTTTTGCACAAGCTCCGCTTACTCCTCTTAACAGTTCCTCTTTTTGTATCTCAATGTAATTCCAAGCATGCGTCTCTCCATGCTTATATGCATTGTGAATGACCGTGATTCTGGCTTGGCGGAGCCAGCTCACAGCCATACGGTTGACTTGAGCCAGCTATCAGCATGGTCCCAGCGCCATTCTGGATGTCTGCGAGCCAAGCCGAGCCACGGCTGAGCCGCTCGTGCGTCTCTGAAACCAATTGAGGAGCTCAAGCCTGAGTCAGGCTGCGTTAAGAGGCGGAGGCAAAGCCGACCCGTGAATAAGAATACGCCATAAAAGCGAAACAGCCATTGTTGCCAAGGCGGGAGAACGACGATGTTACTCATGGATGAAGAAGAGTCTCGCTCTCTGGGCTCCACTTGCGCACCCCACCGGGACGAAGCTGATGGCATTAGCAAGGTCAGCGCTAATTCTCCCCACTCTGCCGCAATAAAGACAGGAAGGCTGTGCGGGCCGTGTGTCATCATCGGCGTCCTCGCTGCTCGATTTGGCAGTGAATCATCATCATGCCAGAACCGCTGGCACAGCAAACGCGCTGCGCCCCCCTCCTCCCTCACACGCCACCCCCCGACCCTCGCTCGTGATTAAAAACGCATCTTTAGCTCGGTTTGCATTACCAGCATTCTGTAAAATTGCCTCCACGTCACAGTTTTAATGAATCACCCGTTGCACAGCTCGGGGCGATCTAACCGTGACAAATGCTCCAAGGGTGAGAATGTTCACGGCCCGTGTGCGGCGTGCGGGTGCGAGGTTAGGGGACTGGAGAAAACGACGCCACATCGGGAACATCTCGTACCTCCGTGTCGGCCGTTATTCTAAAGCTGTGGAGAAGTTGGGGCTACGCAGTTGGACCGTGCGGGTGCAGGTGAGGGGGCTTACCCGCCCGCTCGTTCCTCCGCAGCCCCCAGCCATGCCGCCGCAGGGGAGCCGTGACCCCTCCTGTGATTTGTGCAAAATTAATTTTTCTGGTTGGAGTTGTGGCGTAGCGGTTGAGGCGCTGCTCTATGAATCCGGCGAGTTCAAATTCTCGCCGTGACAAACATCAGTGGTGAGTGATATCTGAACCGACCCTGGGTGCCCCCATTCACCAACCCGCATTGACCAGCATGGTGAAGTACGGTCAAACAACCCTCATGACCGGCAATGCATGGGGAGGTCTTTGTCCAGCAGCGGCTGCACAAGATATTTATTTAAAATGTGTGTTGCGCATCACCACGTGTTCACTGTGCGTGTGTGTCTTGACACTCTGGACGACCTTGCAATGGGATGTTCCGTCTCAAGGAATTTGTTCTGGTGTTGAAGACGAATAATAAGTAACAAAGTGAATCAAGGAGCCGGAGGATTTAGATAAATTTGTTCCACTGACCGTAGCAAGAGTTTATACAGTAAATCTGTTTAGCAGAACCGCGCACCACATTAAACGGCGCTGACAGCTCCGAAGCATCTCGTGCAACGCGCCGTCTCCTCGCGCACGGCCCCGCCGGCTGGAGCGCCTGCGCACCGCTCCGTGGGAATTGCTTTTCGTAAATTTTGGCGAGAGATCAGCCCGGCCCGCGGGCGCTAATCCTGCTCGCTCGCTAATTTAATGAGCGAAAAGGAATTCTCTCTCTGGGACCCGCGAGCTCCTGCGACTTCACATTGTGGAGCATCTGCCGCTCTTATCGTTAACCCTCACAGCAGCAGCAGTAGCAGCGATGGTAACGGCAGCGACCGCCCAACCACGTATGCAGATAGCGCAACAACGGACGTAGCCGTTGGCCCGACGGCACCATCCCGTGAACACACGCGGCCTTCTCCGGCCTCCCGCACCGCCGTGGCCTGCAGTCGAGGGCGGCCCCAGCGACCCAGAGATGCGGCGGCATCCGCACGCACGTGCTCTGCGCCATCTTGACTCTCGGCTGCACACTTAAGCTGTCACCCTCCCTTCGTGAACCGACACGTCTGTGCTCAGAAAAAGCTAAATCTTTGTTTCCTCTCTCGTTTTTCCATTTTAAAACCCATCACGCCCATCACACGCCGGCTTCCCGCGGGAAAGTGTGAAATTATCGCCCTCGTGAGAATACCTCAAATTAAACCGCCGCCGTGCGGCGATTTCCGCTGTGAAGCCGCCAAGGCTGACTGACAACTATAACAAGTCGAGAAGGATGCTCCATTTAAAATCTATAATTACAATTATCATCGCAGATGCGCATTTGTCTCCATGCTGCTGCTGCCTGTCCAAGTGCATGGTGTCACGCTGGGGGGGGGGGCGGCTGTGTCAGCGAGTGTGTCTGTGTGTGGGTAGATGTGTGTGTTGGTAGGTACATTTGTGTGCGAGTAGGTGTGTGTTTGTGGGTAAATACGTGTATGTGTGTAGGTGTGTGGCACCTGGGTCTGCCCCGTGACCTGCCAGCAGGCATTAGACACTTCACGTGGCCTCAACATGCACATAGCCTGGCAAGAGCGTCGTGGTGACGTCACCGCCACTTAGTGGCGAATGGCGGTTGTTTTTGTTGTTGGTCAGCTACGAACCCAGCGACCCAATTTCTATTCCTGCTCACGATCAACCACAGTAATTAACCCATAGAGGGCCTTCGCCAGGTCAACTCATCCTAAAATTTGTACCTATTGCAGTATGTAAACATCAGCATTGTGAAGACAAAGGTGGCGGGTGTGCTTTTGAACCTCGTGTGAGTTTCCAGCTTGAATAGGTGCTGGCTAACAAAACTTGACCTGAAAGTGTATAGAAAAGGTTAAACAGGGACTCTCTTTGTATCTATAATGTACAATATGTAATGTGCACAGTTTTCATTCACACTCTCCGAGACAGAGAGATAATGATAAAGAGGCGTGGGAAACCACAGACAAGCGGGAAAGCAGCCAGAGCAGGTGCGACCAAAAGTTGCCCAAGCTCTGTGGGTTCTATATTGGAATGTTTGACCAACTTCATTAATAAAAGTTTATACACGCGGGAGGAAAACCGGAGAACCCAGGGAAAACCCATGCAGGCGAGGGAGGTAGTAACACTCGGTCCCCGTACAGATGGAATTTAACCCCCTTGCTGTAATGCCGCCATACCCTGGCAAGGCGGGAGATTGCAACCTCGATGCCCACGTGTAGAGGGCGTTTTACGAATTGGTGTGCGATTCACCGACTCCCCTTTGGTGCATGTGTGCGTTGTGCTGATTGCCCGTGCACGTGCAACTGTGTGCGTTGGATGTACGGTCATCCACACGATTGTTTGTGGACGTTGGTGTGTGTTGTCTGCTCGCTGGTAGCACTTGCCCCAACAGCATGTTGAGGCTTTATGAGGGATCTTTGTCTGTGTTGTCTGCATTAGCTACCCATTCCACTTTACTTACAAATGGATAAACAGGGGCAGTGAAACCTGGCCGGTTAAAGGTGCTAAATTATTCATCATCTGATTAGTTTGGCAGAATAAGAAACGAGCTTTTGTTATGCAAAGTGCTCTAAGTAATTCTGCGTGGGTTTGCACAGACAAACACTTCGACTTTGTTGGCACCAACAAACAATTTACATTTAAATCAGCCTCACCAGGATCCTACAACAAGCCTGCCTCCCTGCTGACCCACGACCCCTGTGTCCCTTTACTGTAGTAGGCACCACTCGTGAGTGGGGCTGTGGCAAGGTGTAGTGTAGGTAATGTGTGTTGTGGCGCAGTATGGCGCGGGGATGCTTACCAGTGCCCGTGTGCCCGGCTTCACGTCTCAGCATCTGCACGGCACCCACGTACTTCTTCAACTGCACCTTGAGCACCTCGTTTTCCCTGGGGGCACGTAGAGCATGCATGGTTAATACACACACGTACATGAACATACGGAGCACGTAGGGTTAATACACACACACGTGGAGCATGTGGGCTAAACACACACACATTGAGCACGTAGGGTTAATACACACCCACACACACTAGACGCGAGACACGGGACAGAGCCCTTGCTGCCATGAGCTGCAGTCGGCCAGGTCCCGCACGGCCCCCCTGGGTCATTTCCTTCATTTTCAAAAGTCAGAGCAGTTTCCTGCTCGAATGAGCAGAGGCATTGGTTCTCATCTCCTATTCATAGCCCTGCAGACCCAGTGGTATAAATTCCACGTTCATATGGTGGGGGCGACTATTCATAGGATAACCAACGTTACTTGCTCACAAAGTGGTGCTCACTTTATCAATCCCTGAGGGATAATGATTACAATGATCTGAGTCAACACACTCCAAACTGGACTTGAATTCACTACCCTATGATTGCGACCCGCTAGCTCTAGCGCTGAGCCACCACCGGACCGGCTTGGCGTTTACACTGATAGCCTCGTGTGTGCGGCCACTACAGCCACGCAGCGTACATACAAAGACACCTATGAAGGTCGGCATGGTACATGAGGGGGCGGGTGGCCAGCACTTCGCCCACACACACATGCCACACACCCAAATATACGCCACACACCTGCCACACACACGTCACACATCCATATACATGCCACACCACACACACACACAAGCCAATGTTGCCATGTGCTGCTGTAGATACATCAGGGTGTAGCTTTCATATGACAATGACAACCACATATAAGAGGCTGGTCCACTCTATTGCATCAACAACATAAATAAGCAGACAATTTTCCTCCACCACACATATCCGTCTCTCCACGTAACAATATATACGAGTATTTTTTTACACACATTCCATCGACCACACAGCTTTCTGCGGGTGCAGAATTTCAACAGCATCGCGTTAATTCAAGCAAAACTCTGGAACCAGTTGCGGCATTCAGCGTCTTGTCAGCAGTCAGACTTGCTCAAGGCAATCCTGGTGAACTACCCGTTGATTATAAGCAAGGACCCTCTTTGCGAGATATGGGTCCTAACTCGACACAGTACCACGTAGAAATTATCGAGTCAAATGGCAATTTACCAAAAGTGTTTACAATTTAACATAAACATTACTGGAAATGTACCACTTTGGGTCAATTCTTGAGAACAGAGTGTGAGAAAAAGCCGATGAAATGAGCCCCATCACAACACCGCGTCAGGGAAGTGATAAATGGATCAGCCGAGCCCCACGCAGAAGCTGAAATGAAAACACGAGACGCCACGGGGCGGAACACAATGAGACGCCATGATCATACGCTCATCAGCAGCAGCGGCACGTACCGCCTAACGCCAGCCTCCCAGAGCAATACGCTCCACATCCTGGAGGGGCATGCGCTAAAACACACAGACAAACAAAGAACCCCCGTGTAGCCCACACAGGCTGTTGAGGCAAGTGCTGTTTGTGCGTACCAACGAAGGCTGGAACGGCACACCTATAAGAGGGTGGTGTGGACAGCACAACGCCCGGCTGCCTTTGTTTCCCCAGAACTAATATTTACAAGCCCCATCAGGTACCTATGTTATGGTTGAGTTGACCTAGGAAAGGCACAAGACTGGTTCAGATATTTGTCATTCATTGTTGGTCGTGGGTGGGAATCGCACTTGGTTTAACCGGCTTCATAGCAAAGCACACGAACCACTGCACCACCGCTCGTCACACACAAAGACAAAACACACTTACCTACAAACACACACCAACAACAACAATCGCCATTCGCCACTATGTGGCGGTGACGTCACCACGACGCTTGTGCCAGGCTATGTGCACCTTGAGGCCACGTGAAGTGTCGAACACCCGCTGGCAGGAGGTCAGGCGGTAGACCCAGATGCCACTGGTCGACTGCCCGAGACGACTGGCTGATGCACCACCTATGCCCCCTACTGTGACAACTTGCCGTGCTTTAGCCACCTGGCGCTCCGCTCGTTGTTGTGAGCGTTGCTCCTCACCCCTCCATTGTTATTGGAGGCCAACTGCCTCTAACTGCCCAGTAGCATCCTTCACGAGCTTCCTCCACAGAGGCCGATCTTGATACCGCTGGTACCAGTCATCGGCAAGTCCACTCAGCTCCACATCCTCCTGTACCACATCACTCTATCTCTTCTCTAGCCCGTGCCGCGCCCATTTAGCCCCCTCGATCCGGCCGAACAAAATCTGTTTAGGCATGCGGTGGCTGGGCATGCGGGCTACATGACTCAGCCAACGCAGCCTTGCACACTCTCACACATACCCGCACACACACTTACCCATGGACACACACGTACCCACCCACAAATAACAACGACCGCCATTCGTCACGAAGTGGCGGTGACGTCCCCACGGCGCTTGTGCCAGGCCATGTGGAAGTTAAGGCCACGTGAAGTGTCGAACGCCTGCTGACAGGTCACGGGATCCACTAAGATGACTGGCCAATGCACCACCTGAGCCCCCTACTATACCCACAAATACACGTACCTACCCACACACACATACGCGTGTTCGAGTTGCAAGCACTACGTGGTGCTTGCGGCGCCCATTAGGGAAGCAGGCACACACAGCAACCCAACCACTCGCACAGTAACGAAGCCGGCGTCTGCCGTCCCTGCCGCCGCGCGATGCGCCGAGGACAACGAGCACCATCTGGAAGTGGACGTGGCTTCGTACGAATCGCGATAATTGGGGCAATTCTAGCAAAACATAAACACACGAGGACCACTTTTTAGGCCGCATCCTCCCCCCCACCCTCCACCGGAGCCTGACGGCGCCACCCGTTATCTCGTCCATCCTCCCCTGGCTCCCGCACCCCGCTTCGTGACCCTACCCCCCCCAACAGACAGCGTACGCTCACCTGGCGAGAGCCTGCAGGCGCGCGGAGTGGCGCTCCTCGCTCTCCTCGGAACGGCGCTGCCCCTCCTCAGCCTCGCGTCGCAGCGATGCAGCATGCTCCATCTCACTCTCGAGCAGTGCCCGCAGAGATCTGCACCATAACCATCATCGTCCACACCATCGTCGTCGTCACCACCATCACCACTATCATCATCACCATCATCATCACCACTACATCACCACCCACTATTATCACTATCATGCTCAAAATAACTTACCATCATCATTACCACCGCCAATTCCCGTTCACAACCAATGACTTTGGCGGATGTTTGAACCAGTTCTCAGACTCCTCCAGGTCTACTCAGGCTTAAAATAGGTGCCAGGTGCGGCGTTTAAACTTATGTACTGGGGAAACGAAGGCTGTCGGGCGTAGTGCTGGCCACCCACTCCCTCGTGTGCCATGTTGGCGTTTATAGGTTCTCGCGAACAGCACTTGCCCCAATGGTCTGTTACAGGTCATATAGGGGATCTTTATCTTTGTGTGTGTTTGTGTCCATGGTCATTACGTGTTGTTATGTGCATGTCGGTTAACATCCCGGATACCCTTGTAACAAAGACGTTCCATCTCAAGGGCTTCTCCTGGAGAAGAGTCTCAATAAACAAGATGATCTTGACAATTCACCCAACGAAAGCAGCGGTGGCATGGGGGAACCGGGCACGGCAGTGGTGCCCGCCCCGCTGCCCACACCTTCAATTAGCACAGTTGGCCACATACGGTACGAAAGAAGTTCAACGTACGTACACCTGCAACTTCGTGGCCTCCTGCTGACGCTCACCGACATCAGCCCAATCATGTCTCCTACACGACGACTCATGCCCCCGAGCGCCACGATATTTATGCACGGGGCAACCAGTGGAGCAAAGATGCTGCTCCAAAGACCTTATTCTTGAACTGAGGATTTATTGCTGCTGCTACAGAGCACAGATTCGGCTATAGTTGGAATCCTTCTGCTGTCACATCTGGGGTGGAGCACCCAGTTCCCACCTCACTGCACGGGTTAGAATTCAGAGTCAAGCAGTTGGGGCGATTCATGGTCCAGCACCCAGTGATTCACCTCAGTCACTTGCTGGCAGTCAGTCGCCGCCTTGTCACTCTTCTATGGTTACTGCTACCATGGTTACTGTTTCTGTAAACTTTACTAATTGATTCCTCTGTCCATTTGTGCACTTGGTCCACCTGATATTAACGGTTTCATCTCATCCACACCGTTACAAGAACACACTCACTCACCCACTCACCACACACTAACTCACCCACTCACTCACCCACTCACCACCCACTCACCACCCACTCACTCACACAGTCGGATTTGCACCGCCCACTTTATTTTGTGCCAACTCTGCTCTAATTAGTAGCATAGCAATCATCGCCCGCTACTGGCAGTCGTTTCATACTGCACAGGGACAGCTACCGCTTGGGGTGCCCTACGATTGTTTGAGATTAGATGCGATCCAAGGTGTTTTGAGTTTCTGAGGCGTTTAAGCGAGCTCCACGTAAATGCTAAACATTATTATCAGTAAAGCTTAGGTTTAAAATAAAACAACTTTTAATCTCTACATTTCTAAGTGAGGTCCATTCTTCGCACATCCTTTAAAGCATCCCCTCTGTGTAATCCCAACATTTGTACACATACACGTGACGTTCTCAGTAATTGGCATGACGAAACGAACGAGAATTGCATTTTCCTCAACCTGCTTCATGTGCTTTAATGTGGAATCAATTATCTGCTGAGTGCACACGCCGTGGGAATAGGCGGCCAAGTTATGATTCAATTACAGCGGTCCTCCAGTTTCAGAAACACAGAGCGAGTGAGATGGCGGTGTGATGACATACGCAAACGTCCACGCTCCAACACTCAAACCCCACACACCCCACACACCCCACGCCCTACATGCCCTACACGCCACACACCCTACACGCCACGCGCCCACACGCCACACACCACATGCCCAACACGCCCTGCACGCGCACACCCCACACACCACATGCCCTACACACCCACACCCCACACGGCACACACCCCACAAACAACACGCCCAACATGCCCAACACGCCCTGCACGCCCACACCCCACACGCCACACCACACGCCCTACACCCCACACACCACGTGCCCACACCCCACACACCACGCGACACACACCACATCCCCACACCCCACACACGCCACACGTCCACACATGCCACACGTCCACACCCCATACGCAAATGCTCAAACCCCACACCACATCCCAACGAACCAGGGTCAAAGGTTAAAGGAAGCCGAGTGGCTCCCCCTTGCTCTCATCCCATCTATCCGTGTCCCGCTCTCCCTGTTCTTTTCCAAAATCCCCTCGGTTATGAAAAAATCTTCCCAAAATTAAAACTGCTGTTTTAGACATGCAAATGTGTCAGATTCTAAAAACGTGGTCTGTAACCCAGCACTGTGGGGAGCAGCGAGGGTTTGTAGATCACACACAAATTCGTGAAACTCCCTCCCTACCCATGAGCAAACATTACCATATAGGAGCACAGAGCTTGGGCAATTGTAGGTGCCGATTTTGGCTGCTCTTTCACTTGTCTTTGGTTCCTCCTCACCCCTCTGAGTTGTCTTCTCTCTCTTCAAGAGTGAGCGAGAACTGTGCGGCTTTGAGATTATTATGAGTTACACGTTGAGTTGATTATGACGTCAATAGCAGAGCAAGTGACGGGGCCAAAGATTGGCGCATCTCGATGGTGCCCCGAGCTGTTCGTGTGCCGCGTACCACGAGAACCAGCAATGAAATCCGATCGTGGCCGAGTGCAGAAGAAAACGTGGCGCTCACCTGCACTGCTCCTCCAGCTCATCCTTCCTGTTCATCATGGCCACCAATGCCTGCCGCAGTTCACCTTCGGGGCAGCAGAAAACGAACACCGAAAACCACGGACATGTCATCAATGACCGAGCGTGCTGGCCTCTGAAGCCCGAAGCATCAAGTTTGATTCCAGGTCAACAAGGGTGACATCGGCCACGGTTTTTGTGCGCACAAACGTGAAATGGGCCCACGGTTTAGGTACAGAACAAACCTATACACCGAACTTAGGACTCAACTACCAATTAAAAATTGCCTTCTGTTGGCATGAACATTGTTCATGTGTGTAGTCAGTGAACCATTCTGCTGTGAGGCAGTGTTCAGGACGAATCTGGTGTTTTTATCTTAGCTTAGAAGAGGCGAACGAGGTTCCACACAGCGTGGTGTCGTGACCGGTGCCGCGACCACCGGCACACGGTGGCGCGGTGGGGGGCACGTGGGGGGCACAGGAGACCCCACTCACCGATGCTCATTGAGTCCGAGAGAGGTGAGGAAGCCGAGGGGGGGCTGACACTCTTCGCTTGGCATGGGGGAGGGGGCTCGACCCTGGTGGTGGGGGTAGAGAACACAGGTACAGTATGGGCCTGTGAGCAAATCACCCAGAATGCACCCGATCTCATCAGATCTCAGAGGCGAAGCAGGTTTTTGAGCCTGGAGAGTTCTTGTATGGTTAACCACCAAGCATAACTAACCGGTGTTATAGGCTGCTGCAGTATTAAGGTTATCAGCAGAGGGCAGTGTAAAATGAGATGCTGTTCTGTACTATGATTCCCGTCTTCACCAACCCGCTCTGAGCAGCGTGCTCAAGTCTGGTGAAGTAGCGCCCATTGACCCACACTGCGTGGGGAGGCCCTCATTCAGCAGATTTACAAAAGGGATGCAAATGTGCATGCACACAATACTAAAATGGCAGTTGTAAAACCTGTGCCTCAAGCCCTGGATTTTATTGCTGACTCGGGCGACTGTCTATATGGAGATTGTATGATCTCCCCCTGTTCAGCATGGGTTTCCCCTGGGTTCTCTGGTTCCCTCACATAGCCAAACCCACACACACAATGTCACTGGTATTGGCCAAAACATCCCAATGTTGAAAAATCATCCAAAACCATGAGACAAATGTAACACGTTTGCAGTCTGCCACTGCCACCTTGTGGCAATGCTTATTCATGGCTCTGTACACATTCACTGAATATGAATTTCAACTTGCAACGTGCCACACCGTGTGCACTCTCGATAAGAAAGAGTCATAGATGCCAGAAGGCAGCCAGGTGGTAGTCAGGTGAAAATTGCGACGTCTGTCCATTGGACAACCAATGTCGACTTCTTCACAAAGCGGTACTAACATTTAACGACCCTGGAGGGATGATAGGCCGAGTAAAATGAGAACCAGGATTTGAGCTTGTAACCTTCCGATTGCGAGTCACTTATCCAGTCACCTAGCAGGATCCTATCATAGTTACAAGACTCGGTTAATGACCACGTGAGTATTATTGTAATTTTGCAACAGCAGAGAAAAGCGATGACAAAGTGGGGCGGCACCGACGGCACAGGCCTCGGTAATTATTTAACCGTCTTAAGAATCTGCCAAGTGAACGTGGGGGGTCCTGCTGCCAGTGGGGTGCCATTGTGTCTTGGCACGCGAGCCGCACCTGTGCTGCAGCAGTGAGCCCATTTGTGCCAGCTGCATGGGGAGGGCGGCAGCGTCCGTGGGAGAATCTGCGAGAACACGAACCGAGCACGCGGGTGTCAGGCTGGCGGCCTGTACTCACCTCCACCACACCCCCGCTCAACCGACACACACACACCCCCAGTCGAACGCAGGGGGAGGGGCGACGCTGACCGACCTGCTTGCAGCGGGAAGAGCAGCTCCCCGCTGTCATTGTCGTTGAACACCTGGAGGGCACTCCAGCCAACGGGTGACTGCGGCAGGGGCCTGCACCACCATCACCCGTGCGTTACCGACGGGCGTCAACAACTATCGGCGCGTCGAGTGTCAGTGGCTGCCGTGTCGGTGCGAGTGCGGTGCCGTACGGGCACCGTGGGCGGTGTCTCACTTGTAGGCCCCGTCGAGTTTTGCGTGGCCATCACCGTTCCGGGCCGGCTGAGATTTCCCATAGACCTCGTCCGCGTTGTCATCGTCGTCCTCCTCCTCTTCGTCCTCGTCGGCCATCGGCTTCCTGTCACGTGGGGCTGCAGTGACGCCGTTCTCCATCGCCTCCCCGTGGTGCCAGGGAGCCGGGTCAAAGGCCGAATCCGGACTGAATCTGCCACCAATAACACCGCAATTGCATCGCTGCAATTATATCTCACACAAGGGCAACAAACGACCCCTAACCACGAGATTGTCCCATCGTTGCCCGTGAGGCCGTACCGCGTGTGGGACGCCGCAGCGGAGACCTCACGCGGATCGTCATACCGGCCGCTCCACTCCTCCAGCTGCGTCTCTCCCCTCCTCTCCCGCTCCTCCGCATCATCGTCATCAAAAGAGATGATGCTCGTCACCGGCTTCTTCGATCGCTTCTTTCGTTCCTTGCGATTCTTGACATCTGATCAAGGCAATGTTTGCATGATGATCGATTCCCAATGGTGTCCGCACCATTCTCATGGCGCAGGGCCATCATAAAGCAAGGCGATGCGTAGTATTTTACGTTTAATACACCCATAGTAATAACAAGGGCTGCCTACCAAATTAGAATGGCGAAACTGTGCAACAGGCAGTGAAGGCGCTATCGCTGGGCCACGACACTGCCCCAACGCATGACGGTGTCATCGTCGTAAGACACTGCACGCAGAATTACCAGCACCGCTGGCGTACAGACGGGTGTGCGGGCGTGCGTGCATGCGGGCGTGCTTGCAGGACCGGAGGACCGCACTGTGTTGTCGCCAAGCTACCTGCAACCCGAGCAGACATGACGGGGGCAGGGTCGTGCACCGAGAGGGCCGTGTCCCGCGCGGAGGCCACGGGCACAACAGCTGCTCCCCCGGACGTGCGGGGACCCCCAGGACCGGAGATCTCACGCAGCAGGCTGCTCACACCCTGCATGGCGCACGCATACACACGCGTTAACAATGGCCTACCAATCATCATCACAGCCAAGGCTGCGTCGCGCTCAGAGTGCCGACGCGAATTAAAGTGATGGTGATAATCATAATAATAAATATTATTAAACACGCACGTGTGTGAGCGACGAGTCTCTGAGGAGGGAGGTAACGCTCTGCGTTGACTCCCGCAGGAGGCCCGACATGGTGGGTGCACCCCGCGACACCCCCAGGCCGCCGTTCAGGTCCTCGTTGTCGATGTTGATCGCAAACACAATGGAGTTGAGGCCTGCGGAACGACACGAGTGTAACGACACTCCTTCCACGATGCCGCGGGTGACGTCCCGACTCAAGTAAGCAAGTGAGCATAGTCACCACTACCAGGCCAATATAGTATTGCTTAAATGCCCGGGTATCTCAAAGCACCTTACATCACAGATCTTCAAAATAAAGGTTTTTTGGGTTAGATCGTGTCGTAACCCTCCACCACCCGACACGGCCAATCAGCAAAAAGGTGTCACGTTGACAAAAGACAATTAGTTCACTACTTTAGCCCACCGGTGTGTTGAAGAGTGAATCCACAACATTTACAGTTTGAGTACGACGTTTCGCTGGTAATTACATCCAGCATCATCGGGCAATTCGCCAGAATGGTAAAGCCCTCACTTGCTCTCGGCCTTAAATAGAGCAGCAGGGTGACGTCATCATTGAACTAATTTCAGGTGCAGTGATTTGAGGCGGAGGGGGGGGTATTGTAATTATATAATCGATTGGTAATCAGTCAATGTATATTCTTGGTTCTTTCGGTAAAGTCACGTTGAAGGGAAACAATAAAATAAAAAAATATATAAAACAATAAAATTCTCACGACGTTTCGACTGTAACACAAACAGTCATCATCAGGTGTGAAAACCAACGGCAAGAACATTTGAAAGAAGTGGCGGTTTGTATTTATTTATTTTTAAACGTTAGTACCACGGATAGCGATTTGACAGTTTGTTTAGAAGGACGAATCCATCTATGTTCGGAAAAGAGGAGGGGGGAGACGCAAAATTAACGTATGCTGTCTGAAAGCCACCGTAAGCGTGAACAATGGTTTATCAAATCCTTCCAATGATTGCTAAGCCAGAATCCATCTTCTCGGTTGAAATTGTCTCTGTGTTTGTATATGTGGATAGCCTCATAAATGAATCTCATTGTAGCCCGATGGCTTGCAAAGAACCTCTGTCTTGGAGGAGTCAATGTCATGTGAGCCTACTGAATTATAACAGTGATCTGCCACGGCCGAGGTGTTGGTCCTACCGTGTTTAAGGTCTGCTTTGTGTTCACGAATACGGTTCGAGACAATGGTTATGATTAGTAATGAGTTGTAGATTAGTAATTAGTTGTAATGTGTGTTATTGTGAATATGACTCACTGCCGGCCTGCACATGGGCCTTAGCATGCCAATAGGGGGCAATGCCTGCTACGTGCACTCCCAATGGAGTAATTTGCACGTTTAGCAAATTGTGTCTCGTGTGGGTGGCACGGAAATGTCGCCCAATAGGGTTGCAAGGAGTGCAGCTGAGAAGAACCCGCGGGCATAAGAGGCCACGGTGTGGCCGTGAGGGGTGGGTTACACCGTGACCTGCTGACATGACGGGCAGCATGCTCGACCGCTCATCGTCGAGGAGGAAGGCCCAGTCTTCGTAAAATTGGCTGTGGGCACAAAGTGGCAGGGCTCAGGCTGAGTGGGTCTCCAGCAGCCACCGACCATCACAACACATACAGCACAGCCTGCTCTCTCAATCACGCACTCACTCAACGGGCCACCACACAAACACACCACCATCAGCTATGCTCTAGCCACTGTGAGATGAAGACCTTCCCACATCGTTGCCATCCCTCACGGTCCTGCGAAACCGCAATCCATCTCGCTCATGCATGCGCAAAACCATTCACACATTCACGGCTATGCAGTTTTCACACCAACTCGGAGACAAAGATCCCCCATGTACCCTTTATCAGTCTGTTGGGGTTAAGTGCTGTTAGCGAGCAACTATGAAGTCCGGGAGGGCCCACAAGCTCGCGTCCGTGTGCATGCCCGTGCTCGTGCCGGAAGCCGCCGCACCTGATGCGCTGGCGCTCAGCGAGCAGCGTGTGCAGGTGGCGCTCGAGCGAGTGCTCGTTGAGTGCCGAGCGGAGCCACGCGCGGCCCCTCCCGGCGTCCGTGCCAATGGCACGCAGTGTCAGGTAGCGCTGCAGCTCGTGCCGGCCCAGCTGCTCGCGCACAAAGTGCCAGAACACCGGCTCTGCGGGAAATGGAACGAGACGCATGTCAGGGCTGTGGCAGCCTGGCGATCGAGTGACGACAACGATGCCTCTAGTGGCTGGAGTAACCGGCGAGAAAGGTTATTGGTATAGTTGTGATGATGGTGTTGATGGTGGCGATGAAGCCAGTAGCCACATAAATCCATATTGTATTGATGATGGTGACTGCAGGAAAGGTGGTGAGGATGTTGTTGATAGTAGTGGTGGTAACTGTAGGGAAGATGGTGAGTGTTGCTGATGGTGGTGGCAGCACCGCTGTGCTAGGCAGTACCGGGCTCGATCTTGCCGCCCATGCCCGTGACCTGCTTGAGAGCAGCAGCCGTGAGTGCCAGGCCACGGCTGCCCCTCCGCAGGCCGTGCTGCAGAACCGCCTCAAACTGGGCACACAGGCACGTCACCCTGCAGGGCACGAGCGAGAACGCCACAGCACTTAATAATAGTAATAATATTCTTGGTTCTTTCGGTAAAGTCACGTAGAAGGGAAACAATAAAATAATAAACAAAAATTATCATGACGTTTTGACTGCAACACAAGCAATAATCATCAGGTGTGAAACCCACAGCAAGAAAATTTGAAAAAAGTGGCGTTTTTTTTAACGTTAGCACCACAGAGAGCGATTTGGCAGTTATTCAGATGGACGAGTCCATCTATGTTCGGAAAAGAGGAGGGGGGAGACGAAAATAATGGATGCGGTCTGAAAGCCACCGTAAGCGTGAACAATCAATTAAGACCCGAAATGGTTTATCAAATCCTTCCAATGATTGCTAAGCCAGAATCCATCTTCTCGGTTGAAATTGTCTCTGTGTTTGTATATGTGGATAGCCTCATGAACGAATCTTTAATGGTAGCCAGATGGCTTGCAAAGAAGCTATGTCTTGGAGAGGTCAATGTCATGTGAGCCTAATGAATTATAACAGTGATCTGCCACGGCCGAGGTGTTGGTCCTACCGTGTTTTAGGTCTGCTTTGTGTTCACGAATGCGGTCCGAGACATATCGTTTGGTTTCTCCAATGTAACTACTACCACAGAGGCAACTTAGTTTGTAGACGCCAGGGTACTGTATGTCCGGAATCACATCTTTTACAGACGGAACCAGATCACGGATTTTATGTAATGGGTTGAATCGGACCTGGATCTTGTGTTTATTCAAGATTTTGGAGATCTTTTTTGTGATCCCCGAGGATCCTTCTTCATGGTTGGAGTGATAGCTTTGAGGATTGTGTAGTCGGAGTAACCATTAGCCTTAAGAGCTTGGTGTACGTGCTTGAGTTCACTGGCTATGTGTTCCTGGTCGGATATGGATTGGGCTCTATGGTGCAGAGTCTTGATGAGGGAATTCTTCTGGGATGGATGGTCGTGGGAATCCGGTTTCAGAGCCCAATGCATACACATGACATTCACTTCTCCAAGACAGAGGTTCTTTGCAAGCCATCTGGCTACCATGAAAGATTCGTTCATGAGGCTATCCACATATACAAACACAGAGAGATTTCAACCGAGAAGATGGATTCTGGCTTAGCAATCATTGGAAGGATTTGATAAACCATTTCGGGTCTTAATTGATTGTTCACGCTTACGGTGGCTTTCAGACCGCATCCTATTTTCGTCTCCCCCCTCCTCTTTTCCGAACATAGATGGACTCGTCCATCTGAATAACTGCCAAATCGCTTTCCGTAGTGCTAACGTTAAACATTTTCTTGCTGTGGTTTTCACACCTGATGATTGCTTGTGTTGCAGTCGAAACGTCGTGAGAATTTTATTGTTTTATATTTTTATTATTTTATTGTTTCCCTTCTACGTGACTTTACCGAAAGAACCAAGAATATGAATCCCTGCAGTCACGAAAGCTTTAAATCAAAATAGTAATAATGTTTAGATCTATACAGGACCGTTCGTGCAAATTGCATCTCAGTCACTGAGGAACCACAGACAAACAGGAAGACAGCCAGGCTATTAGCCGGAAGCGAAGTGTTGTGACCTACAGTGTGGTGAGTGGGTAGGTGAGTGTGTTGTTGTGACCTGTAGTTCCGTGTTAAATATGTTCAGCTTGGGAAAGCGTGGCAAACAATTCAATGGAAATAGGTGCGTTCCCACACCTCCAATTAGCACGGTTGGCTATGCACATGGATGTTGGTTATTTTATGTACAAACTGAGGTACATGGGGATGGAATGAGCACTGCACGATGATGTTGATAGATCTCCGCAGGTGCAAGAAAATCAGGGAAGGACAGGTTTTGCTCATGATGAGAAAGTTTGATGGAATAATGCATCAAGGGATGTTTGATTTGAAATATAATTTCCGTGATAATGTATTCACAGATTGTTTGGAGTTTAAATACCTGCTGTCTGAGTCGAAGGCAATTTCCTTCTTCCCTCCGAAGCGTATTTGGCACTGGAAAACGTAAACAAATGACGGGTGCTTTGCGGTGAAGCAGTCCAGGACCGCGCACCGAACTCCCTGTACGACCAACGGTCCCTCACATACCCGCACGGTCTCAGCAACAATTCATTACAATGACCTTTGGTAACTTTCTGTTCAAATGAAAAAAAGAAACAAAAAAACTGAATTTGCAAGGAAACTTGATGACCTGGGAGCATGTGACTAGCACGGCCGTGACCAGCGGAGTCACATGACCGGCAGTGGCTGTTGGGCTCACGTGCAAGCACAAATAATTAAACTGGCTCTCGTTGCCACGCGAATTTTTTACAGTGGTCTTCTGGCAGCATAACTCCTTGTGAGGCTGCCAGGACACAGCAATAACTGGCACGCATGAAATTTAGTGAAATTTAGCAGAATTTAATACATTTGCTGTTGGTGCCATAATTCTCTTCGCGCAAGGTGATCATGGACCCAGTCTGCGATAGTTTCACAGTCTGGGCGATGTTGCTGTGTAATCCCAAAGGATATGCATGTAATTTATTAACGCGTCACTGCTGGGCCATTAAACAGTGCCAGGGATTAAGAGCCATCTGAAAACGCGATTCCAGCGCCACTGCTCCGGAATCCGTGGACAGACGACACGAGGTGCCCGCCTCGGCTGCGTCTCCACGGAGATGCACAGACCATGCCGCCCTCCTGAGCGAGGCCTTCTGTCACAACCGACAAAACCCGACACATTCCACGCGTGCGGGGCACGGGAGATTCTCACCTGCTTCACGGCGTCCAGCAACCGGTCCAGCAGGGCCTGCCGCTCATTCTCATTGTGGACGCCTGCGTCACATAGAACCAACTGACCATCACATTCTCGCGTCTCAAACACGACCGTTCTGTATTCATCGTAAACTTACATAAAAGCCGTAAAAAAAACAATAACTTGATGGGTTTACTGTTTCGATTTAAAGCTTTCGTGACTGCAGGTATTCATCTTCTTGGTTCTTTCGGTAAAGTCACGTAGAATGGAAATAAAATAATAAAATAAAACATAATAAAATATTTTATTTTGTTTTATTTTAAAATATTTTATTTTGTTTTATTTTAATTTTAAAATAAAATATTTTATTATGTTTCATTTTTATTATTTTATTTCCATTCTACGTGACTTTACCGAAAGAACCAAGAAGGGTTTACTGTTGGCTGCCACAGTGATATTTTCTTTGCAAATGTGCAGTGAGCTTTATGTACATGCTGAGCTTCACGGGCCATGTTCATGGGCCCGAATGTGGATTTTATTGAGGGGCGATCCATGCCAGATATGAAGGCAGGAATGCGATGCGAAACTAGAGGTGAGGAATTCCTAAGTATTGTCAGAGACTAATGATCCAAGCAATGTTCCGATACTGTAATTATAATCTCTTCCATCCATATGGGTAGAGTGTTGGAACCTCGCAAGCGTGGGTTTTCTCTGGGTGCTCCACTTTTCTTCCACATGTAAAAACATTTGGCCAATAACACCTTAATATCGAGGACTGCAGGGCTTTGGGGGGAATAATGGCGTAGGCTACCACCTAGCCTTTTCCGCTTGTTTGTGGCTCCTCTTCGCACCTCTCTCTCTTTAGTTTCTCTTTTCCAAAGTAAGGACTTCACGGCGGTGAGTTACAAGATTATTATATTATTGTAAACCATGACTCGTGTTATGTTCACATGAAAACACATAAACACGGACTGTCTACCACACAGTTCCATGTTGTTTACACGGCAAATGTGGAAATAAATGAATACGGACTGTTTAAAAACTAAAATCAGTAACAGGCAGATGACTAGACTTTAAGCCGTGCTCTGGGTCGCACCAGCAGTAGCAGCGCGTCAACACCCGTAATGATTCACGTGGTGTTCTTTGGCAGGAAGAGGGCACCTCGAGTTCTGCATGAGCCCTGACAACTGCCACCGTCGCCAACCACGGCCAGCACTGCACCACTCCAGTCTACTCCGCTGAACGGGGTATAAATCACTGTCGTGGTGCCCCCCACACAACAGCTACAATGCCCCCCACACAACAGTTACAATGCCCCCTCACCGTCCCCGCTTTTTCCGGGAGTTGGAGCCGGGCCTGTTCACCACATGGGTGTATAATCGGCACCGCGTAAATAAGACTTGAATCAGGACCAGAATTCACTCTTCATCCTGTGCCCAGCGTGAGTGAGGCCCACGTCACGGTGCTCTGTGTAGACGCCACTGTACTTCAAAAGCAAATCTGAAGCAATGCCCAGAAGCTATCGAGGTAACGGTGTCAACAGTAAGTTTTCTCGTGTTTACATTACTCACATCTCCACCACCAAAATCAGTTCACCACCACCACTCCATCCATCCTGTAATACAACCGTCATTATTGGCCCTCATCACCATCACCCACCATTCTGCCACATGAACCATCGCTGACCTCCCTCCATCAGCCCTCTTCCTTACTTTTCCACGATCACCATCGCTTCTCATCCATCCACAACCCGCCTTCTCCCAACACCATCCACCCCATACCTCCACCACACCTCCACCCATCACCGTCCTTCACAACCATTCATCCTACTTCATCACCACACCCCTCGTTTCCATCAGTCTTTCCAAAATCACCACTATCCACACAAATCAATATTCCTCTCTGCCATCAATCACCTCCAATCCTTGAGTCTCTTTCACTGCCGTTCGCCCTATTTTACTGTAACTACCAAACCCATAACCCTTTCACCATCTCTCTCGCATCTCCCTGTCAACACCACCATTTCTGACCTCGGTCCACCACCACCTACCAAAGGTCACCTGCAGCAGTATCCGCCTACCCTGCTCCTCCTCCTCCCTGTTGTTGTTGTCGTCGTCCTGCTGCTAACGGCGCTGCGACATCACTTCGGACTGAGGCGCCTCCACGCCGGGGAACCGAGGGCGCGCCGCCTCTCTGCTCTTCCCATGTCCCCATCCTCTTGTCTCTTCCCCTATCACTGTCCCTATCGCTCTTCCCCTGTCCAATTCCGTCCCTGTGTCAGACCCCTGATCCTGTCTCGGTCACTGCCGCTGTCCGTGTCCCCCTGTCCCACACCCCCTGTCCCTGTCCCGAGCCCTCACCGCTCATGGTGCCCGTGACGAGACCGCGGCCTCGGCGCTCGGATAGAAGCGCTGCCGGGCGATGGCGATGCCGAAGCAGCCAGCCTCCCGCCCGCCCGTCGGCTGGCACAGGACTACGAGGCCGCCTCTCGGCCCAGGGACCGCGCGAATGTTCAGGGCAGTCACGGCCTCGGGACCCCCTGAGCCGAGACCCCTAACCAAGGGGCACTCAGGGAGCCGTGGAGCCAGGGACCCGGGACGGGGCAGTGGAGGAGGCGGGAGCTCGGGGCGGGCGGAGCCGAGAGCTGGGCCACGCCTGCCCTGCTCACGCCACCATCACCACCACTACTGCGGCTTGCACAACAACAACTTCACGGAATCGGTTGCTCTAAAGTTTCATCCTAAATTAGTGCAACCTGTGGGGATGTGAACATAAGTTTACTACTGATCAGAAATAAAATGTTGAAACCAGTCCAGAATGCTGCTTGTGTTACTGAAAAGATGCCTCTTCTTTGATTCTTTAGGTAAAGTCACGTAGAATGAGAATAAAATAATAAAATATTCTCACGACACCTCATCAGCCGTACGGCGTAAAAAAATACTGTTATTTTTCATAGATATGTGGGAAGGTGATTGCGAACTTTTGAAGGCAAATGTGTATTCCACTCTGCATACACTGATTAAATGTTTACCCCCCACCGCCAAAGGAATGTGGAATATCCACCACGAGCTCAGGGATATAAACATTAGCACCACCTCGATGCTCAAGCGAGCGGGAAGCAAACGGGAAATCACTTCACATGACGCAGGAATCCTATAAGAATCCCCCCCGCGATGTGGAGGAATCATCTGGAGAACACTTCACGTCTCAAGCGTGCGTCCCACGTGCACGCGTGTTATCACTGATGGGAATAAGCAAACTCGTTCTTCGCAACCGTATCACCTGCACTTCTAAGTGTTATGTGAATCTTGGCAAATACCAGTTACAGTATATAAATGCATGCATAATGTACGTTACCATGAATTCCCCCTTTTTGCTTGTGAAGGGCTCACAAGTGACGTCATCACATCTATCCATTTAAGGACCGAAACAGGATTTCTCCACAAATTTGGCTGTCGCCTGATGAAGCTAGCTGTAATTACTGGAGAAACTTCGTACTCAGATTGTAAATGTTGTGGATTTGCTCTCCAACACACCGGTGTGCTGTACTAATTCGGTTGGTGACGGGTTTAACGACACATTTATATTTACACGATTAACCAAAATAAAAAAAATCTATATTATGGACTAGTTACATTGTTTTAGCTATAGAATGAAACCCAACGCAAACCGATGCAGAACAGGGGAGCACATCCTCCACATACGCATTCACAGATTTATTTCATTTATTTTCTCCACCACCAAAACAAGAACTTTACAGCCACCCGACCCAGATCTACCCATGGTTAAATAGGGAAACCTACTTGAAAAGGAGGCTGCCATGACTCCGCAACAGACTCCACTAAGTCCAAACCCTGTGTGCTTATGCGAGGGGAAGAGGAACAGACTGTTCACCACCATCTTCTCCCACAGTGATGTGTGGTCAGCTGCACAAACACTGCAGGTGGAACTCCTCCATCAGATTGCCAACGCAAGCGTTGTGCATTGTTTGGGAAAACCCATGCAGGGTGTTTGCTGCTACCGGCCAACAGCCATGACACTCAAGGACTATCCTACCTGGTAATACCGCTGTGCCTGTAAACCGAAAGCAGAGTACACCCCGCATGCTGGTGCTTCCGTAACCAAGGTGGCCCGAGCTAGTCCGGAGCCCTTGTTAGCGCCAGCTTGACTCGATGGAGAGTGCTGGTTGTTTGCCGTGTGTGTGTGCGTGTAGATCCGCTGCTCATTTGGTGATGGCCGACAGCCAGCCAAGCTTGAAGAGGGACGACCCAGGCTGAGAGCCCTCATCGTGCGACGCGAGCTGCCTGAATAAGGCCCCAGGGGGACGCGTGTCCACCCCCTGTATGCCGCCCAGCGATACTTCCACCTGACACACACACACACACAAACACCGCTCAAACACGGAACCCAGTGTTGTCTGCGGCCGGTGCTGGGCAGGAAGTTCAAAGAAGCCCCAAGAAGCTCCGAGAAGCCCCTTCCCTACTCCTGCATGCGCAACCGCTGCTATGTCCTGAAGGCTAGTGTCACGGCAAGCAAATAGAGGCCCTCGCCACTGCACCTGGCCGGCCAGCACACCACGGCGGTACACACGGCATGCCCCACACCGGGCTGTACCTGTCAGCTCCCCGACAGCCCGGCTGGCTCGGAGCCTGGCATCTCCTCACACCACTGGAAATGACAACAGGGATAGAGACGCGCTCGCCCACACCGAGTCAGCAAACGCAGAGCGTGGAGATTCCCACGCGGATCCCATGAGTGGAAAAGTCGGAGCACCATGCATGAGGGTGCTGCAGTGTGCATGTGTGTGTGCATGCGTGTGTGCTGGGCAGTGAGAGTGCTGGGTGGTGACCGTGCTGGGTGGTGAGAGTGCTGGGTGGTACGTGTGCTGGGCGGTGACCGTGCTGGGCGGTGAGCATGTTGAGCGGTGAGAGTGCTGGGCGGTGACCGTGCTGGGCGGTGAGAGTGCTGGGCGGTGAGAGTGCTGGGTGGTGAGAGTGCTGGGCGGTGACCGTGCTGGGCGGTGACCGTGCTGGGCGGTGAGAGTGCTGGGCGGTGAGCGCGCTGGGCGGTGAGAGTGCTGGGCGGTAACCGTGCTGGGCGGTATCTGTGCTGGGCGGTGAGAGTGCTGGGTGGTACGAGTGCTGGGCGGTGACCGTGCTGGGCGGTGACCGTGCTGGGCGGTGAGAGTGCTGGGCGGTGAGCGCGCTATGGAATGGTGAGCATTAGGTGGTGGTGAGCGTGCACCCTCACCGGTGCTTGCGCTGTGGCTGGCCCCCTTCTCACTGGGGGGGTGGCTCTGCGTTGGGAGGCCAAGCTGGAGGCCGGCAGGGGCAGCAGCGCAAACCTAGACCACCACACGAGCCGAGGGCCCAGTCCCCCGTGTTACGCACAATCCTTTACTGCGACGCAACGTCCACTCCGTGTTACCGTTCCAACTATTAGGAAGTCAGCCCAGAGCCAATAGTGCTAAATCCACATTCATATGGTGGGGGCGAGTCTAACCATAGGACAAACACTGTTGACTTGACCACTAAGGGGCACTCATTTTACTGACCCCAAAGGCATGATTGACAGAGTCATTCCCCAACCAAGGATTTGAACTCGCGACCACTTGCTCGACTACCAAGCCATGCGTCCGGATCCTATCACAGTGACAGAATGAGCTCAATGCCCTTGTTAGTAACTGCATTATTTCGTAACAAATCCCGGGATCCAGTGGATAGAGGCCTCCTCGTGGTACAGGCCTTGCTTATTTAACCGTCATAAAATACGCACAACTGTCCGTATTACAGGTGTCAAAGATCCTGTGGAGTGGATCACTGTGAACCATTGCCAAATCTGCCAAGAAATTCGGGATGCACGGATAAGAGGTATAAAATGGGCTAGACACACCTATGACATGTAGGCCGCAGGCCAAATGCATGAGGGGTCACCAACAGTGAGATGCACTTGTGATTAATTTTCTTTTTAACCCTCAACAGCTGCAACCATTTCCACATAATGCAACGCCTTTGTACGTTTGTACTGCATGCATATGCCAGTTAAGGTCACTTCTTTCATGCACTGTATGATGTGTGCGCATTCATATTTCATGAATTTGTATAATTTAGACGCATGCTATAGTGCCATGTATAAATTAGAAGACGGTGCAAATCGTCGATGATGTTACCACGCATGTTGTATGTATGTTGAACTTTCGCACCGTATGTAGCCAACTGTGCTAATCATCGCCACCTGTGGCGTAACACTGCAGCCTGCGCGGGTGAAACACGGCGGTGCTTTCGCAAGAGCCTCCCCGCTGTCTTGAGACCGCCAGGATCCAACACCACGCTGAGGGAGCATCACGGCGCTCGAGCGCATGGGGGCAAACCTGGCATGCGTGGCGGCCATCGCCAGCAGGCTGGGGGCCTCAGGGCCCGACGGGGCCGGGCGTCCCGTGTGCTGCCTCTCGGTGCCCGTCAGGACACCAAACAGCACCTGGAAGGCATCACCACCACCACACAGTTACCAGCTCGGTGGCAAACGCTCGACAGCAACGATTATGCAACCTGCCCTGCTACAAGTCCACAATTGCCGTTCCTGCAACTCGAGCTGTACCAGAACTGCAGCTCTGATGGTTGGGACTCATGTCACTGGTGCTGAACATGGCTGACAGGCACAAACGAGTGTGCATGTGTGCGTGCGTGTCATTATAATACAGTGGAGTAGTTTTTAAAACGCTGAAATAACAAGCGTTCAATTCCCAGCTATGGCCAACATCTTGACAAGTGGTCTTAAACCAGATCTTTGCCTTAAACATGTTAACTCAGCCTTGGTGCAGTGTGTAAATGTGAGCAATGTGGAGATAATGGTGACCACACTCCATATTGCCTTAACAGACTGCGTCAAGTGCTGTTAGCAAGCACCTATGAAGACCAGAATAACGAGCGAGTGGGTGGCCAACACGACACCAATGTTAATGTTTACACAACTCAATGGGTACTCGTTTAAGACCGAGTTGACCTAGGGGAGACCTAGGACCGTTTCAGTTATTTGTCATTGATAATGGTGACCTGTAAGCGAGATTTTAACTCGGGTCGCTGGGTTCATAGCGTAGTGTACTAACCAGTGCACCACCGCTCCTCACGTGGCGGTATTGTGTTTGCGCGCAAACATCGCATGAAGGTTGCACAAACGTCCTACAACGTTCTGACCATAGGGTGGGATATGCTTGTGTGTATGCACATGGATGCGTCATACATTGGTGCGTTGCAGCAGTCTCTGGAGGTGCAGGTGGAGGTGTGGGGTGAACACGTCCAGGTCAAACGGGTCCACGTGGCTCTCGAGGTCGTCCACCACGGCCTGTATTCTGCAGAGCGGCACCGGCAGCTGATTGGCCAGTGCAGTAGATGTAATGTCATCCCTAGCGACTGCTGACACTCCCACAGATTTGTGATCTCACGAGGACTCTCGTGTTTATTTCAACACAAAGTTGCGTTTTTTCTCGTACAGCATTCGGATCCCGATACCACCGCTGCAGACCGGACTTTACGAGCATTTTCAATGCTCAGGCCAAGGGTCCACAATGAGGAGGCCCCAGTCCCCACACTGAGGGTCGTACGTGCCTCGCGTGGAGAGGGGTTCCCCGAGCAGCGGCACTGCTACCGCGCGTCCTCTCGGGCCGAACCGCCAGCACGCCGTGCATGAAGCGCAGGTCAAAGAGAAGCTGCAGCGCCCTCGCCTGGCACATGGGGGTCGTCCCAGCCTACATGGACCACACGCACACAAACGCACAGTTCGGATATCTGTGTGAGCGTGTGTGTGTGTATCCCCACTGTGGGGTGTGTGCGAGTGGAGTGTGTGGTATATGAGCAAGGCTGCGTTGTCTGGGTCATGTAGCCTGCATGTCTAAACAGCTTGTTTGGCCAGATAGAGGAAGCTAAATGGGTGCAACACAGGCTAGAGAGGAGAAGGGCTGATGTGGTACAGAAGCACGGGGTGATGTCTCCACTACTTAGTGGCAAACGGCGGTTGTTAAAGAATGTGCTGTGCAAGTGTAGACTTAGGTACATAATGTGGTGTGTCAACATCAAGTGTTGTCCCAGCCTTCATAGAGGATCGCTAACAGCAGCATTTGCCCCAACAGTTTGTAAAAGGTTTCACGGTGAATCTTTGTCTCTGGGAGTGTGCGAGCATGCATTCCCACCGCGGGCTGCAGGCGAGCTTCATAAGCTGTGAGGACGCCATCCATGACGGCCTCCAGCAGGGCTTGCCGGGTAACCCGGGGCACGGCCTGGGCCCCTACAGCCCCCATGGCTTGACCCAGCCCGAACAGCAAGGCCTGTGCTGGGAACGAGGCCTGCAGGCCCCACAACGAAACGAGCACACAACACACCTCCGATGAGCATTGTTGGCGATGTACGGTGTGAAAGGAGTTCACTAACAGCACTTGCCCCAACAGCATACATAAGGTTATACGGGGGATATTAGTCTTATTTATATGTCCGTGTGTATATGATGTGTGTGTTACGCGTGTCTATGGAGTGTGTAGGTGTGTGCAGTATGTGTGCAATGTGGTTGAGTTTTGGTGTGGGGGGATGTCTGATGTGTGTATGGCGTGTGTTTGTACAGTGTGTCAGTGCTCTCCTGCGTTCTGTGCCTGTGCAGGGAGATGTATTTTTGATGCCACACTCCCCCCGGACTCCGTCTCCTCCATGATCTCGATCTCCTCCCAGTTTGGGGTGGATCCCAACACGCGGCCGGGACTCTCCACTCTCAGAGTGGATCCAAACTCGCTCACCGCCACCTGCAGGACGAGCCATTATACTGTGTCACACCGAGGAACAGTTCATCACCATCTCCATCCACTCCTGAATTATTGAAGGTCTTCATGATCACATCACTCGCAGTCATGCTGGACGCATGGTCTCCAGGTTGATATTCCTGTCACTGCATTTCACTGTACATGGGTTTCAAGTCAATAGTCTGAGCCAACTCGTGTTACTGGAAATTTAAGTTAGATTTCTTCAGGTATGCGGTTTTTACTATGATTTATATTTGATTGTTGATGCTCTGTTTAATTTTCACTTTGTTGCTGTACTTTATTTTAGTTTTGCTTTAACCATTTTGGTTACGCATAAGTGAGACTCCTATCCTGCTCTCTTGAGTTATCGCCTGGTTAGACAAATTCAACGTGCACCTTGAAATCTGCACGTGGTCACCGTCGCCTCTAGCCCAGCGGACCGTCTGGAGCCGAGCTCCGCATTTGCGTGCACGTGATCCTGCGGCCTCCGGCAGTGGGGCGTGCTGCTCTCACCTGGGCCACGTTGCGGCTCCACGCATCATACGCACGCAGGCTCAACGCGCCCAGCTCCTCCGACAGCTCTGTCCACGCCGTGTACGCCCGCCCCGCGGGCACCGATCTCGCTTCCCCGGCCAGAGCTCGCGGCAATGGCCTGACCGCCTCGGGAGGTGACGTGACACCAGCCGCGCCCAGGATGGCGAGCCGCAGGCTCGGGCATAGCTCAGGGATGGCGCGGCACAGCCGGGCAACGAACAGCACGATAGCGAGGTGGTGGCGCCGCTGTTCATCGTCGCCGCCACCGCCTTCCTGCAAGAGCTTGGCTGAAGCGTCCAGATGGCCGCGAGCGCAAGCGGAGAGAGCCGTAATGCACGAGGCGCTCTCTTTCTGCAGCGTCTCCTGCACGCGGCCCGAATCCGCAAAGCGGTCGAATCCAGCGCTGTCCTGTCACGCACAGACACACACAGACGCGTGGTCACAGATGCATGACACGATGCTGCTATGTCCTACAGATTCCCATGAACGGAGCCCTCCCCTGGTACCTGCTGTGGGAGTGGAGCCTGGCCGGAAGCGGGGGGCCCTGCAGGGGGAAGGTACGCCGCCACATCCTCGATGCGGGCCCTCAACTTAGCGTCCAGCGCAGCACACAAACCCTGAACCTGTGACCAAGCACACACATATGACCACTCAATCATGAGCAAACACACTCCGTCCCTACCTCCGCTAGCTTATAAGTAGTGCACACACGTCACCATCTTTAGGACAGCACCTACCATGGGTGTGTGTCCTCGGGCCTTCATAGTCAGGCCGGCCCAGGTGGGCACTTCCAAGCAGGTCTGGGAGGAGACGGCGGCCGCGGGCAGGGGTGGTGGCGCGGGGGCGCCTCCCCACGCAGCGTGGGGGGCCAAGTCCCCCGGTGACTCCGTCCACAGATAGGAGGAGGCGTCCGTCTCGGGCGAGGGTCCGGTGCGGTGGCGTGGCGTCCCCAACTCGAGAACGGCAGCCTGCAGGGCCTGCTGGGAGGAGGTCGCGATGGAGTCCAGCGTCTCTTGGAGAAGCTCCTGATGCATGCGCACACACGTCCTGGCATGAGACATCTCATCTGGGAAACGTCGGTTTGCTGCTCCATACGCCCGGCCGCATGGGGAACAAAGGGGTAGGGGGCGCCCGATCTTACCTCCACTCTCTGCATGAAGAGTGGCTGTAGGAACTCGTCCCACAGGGACAGCGGGCGCCCCAGAAGGCGGGCGCACATGGGTGTCCAGCGGCGCGCCAGCCCCTCACTGGCTAACAGCTCCCAGACTGCGTCGCGCATTCCGGCCAAACCGCGCAGGGAGCGCACGAATGGCAAAAGGCGCCGCACGCCCAGAGACACGTCTTCGCGGCACCTGCTTGGCCGCACGGCACACAAGTGTGTAAGTAACACATGTACATTCATACGTGTGTGCTTGCGTGTATCATGTGCTGCACATATGCCCATCTGCTATAGCAGAAGTGTAAGTTCAACCGAACCTATGTCTATGCTTTATTGACCTGGTCAAAGCCTATCATACTTTATATTATGCTGCATGCTTTAAGGTTGGGAACCCTCTGCCCAGAATAGTTGAGGACCTTCATGATGGTGGGCAGGCCCGGGTAAAGCTGTGTGACCAGGAGTAAGAGCCAATTCCTGTACACCATGGAGTGCGACAGAGATGCCCTCTGGTCCCGACACTATTAACAACGTATTTGACCATGTTGCTTGAGAAACTTTCCATGGCAGTAATGGAGAAAAAACTGGTTCGGACACAATAGTGCCAACGGTGTCAGTTTGTAAAGGATGTTAAGGGGCAGTTTTATGCAGTCGCTGGATTCCCTGCATGAGGCATGCAACTCGATTACCAAGGTTCGTTGAGGGACATGCACTTTCATCTTGGCACAGGTTTATTCCTGGCCATAAATTTTAAAAAGTGGCCAGTGATATCTAAAACCAATGCTGGGCCTCCCCTAGGTCGATTGCACTTTAAATGAGTTCCTACTGCAATGTGTAAACATCAGCATTGGAGAAATAAAGTCGGACGGGAGTAGTTCTGGCCACACCACGCCTTTGTGGGCTGTGGCGGCCTTAATAGGTGTTCACTAACAGCACTTGCCCACACGGTCTGTATGACTACATGCGAGATCTTTGTCTCTGTGCACTGTGGCCATAGTTTGCGTACAGCGTGACCCAGTGTAGGAGGGAGTGGCGAAGGTGCTGGAGTGAGATGCGCGAAGGCATCATGGTCGGCACCGGGCGGAAGCTCAGGACATCGGGGGGCAGGTGGCGTCCCCACGCCTCCGCCCCGGCCCAGTCCAACAGAACGCCTTGTCCTGTGCCTGTGCTCCGGCGTTCCAGCCAATCAGAGACATACACACATGCGATGTGGGTGGAAGTCGTACACTGGAGGATGCAGCTATCACATTTGACCAGATTTGAAAATGGAGCAGAAACTATTGCCCACGATAATGGCCTGAGGAAATTGCCCTGGTGCATCGCGGTGGCCAGGTGGTGACTCTGCTGTAGAGGGCTCGCAATCAGAAGGTCGTGAGTTTACATCCTGGTTGGGGGGATTGGTTGGCTAGGGCCATCATCATCTTTCTCTTTGGAGTTGATACAATGAGCAGCACTTTGTCAACAAGTCAACAATGGTTGTCCTATGGATAGAATTGCCTCTGCCATAGAAAAGCAGGATTCCCACCATTGGCTAAGGGCTATGAACAGGCTTTGAGTACCATTTCAGTTGCTCATTGCGGGAAAGGGGTTGAGACAGGCGCACCGGAACGCGTATCGGAGGCAAGGGACTCCAGCGTGCTGATGAGGAGTCCGCACGGCGCATCCTCCATCTCTATCCCCACCCCCGCACCCTCCTCGCCCGGCCCGGGTGGCGAGTAAAACACGGCATGGACCTGGTAGAGCGTGGTGGCCACGGACTCCACGACAGTGCACACCTGCGCCTTGATGCTCGACCCTGCACACACGCAAGCGACACAGGGAGCCGGCGCTAAACATGCAGATAATGGAGAGGGGGTTCTCTTGCTGCTGCGAGATGCAGGACCAAGGTGAGATGAAGACCTGAACTCAAGACCATGCCTGCTGATGATCGTGATGTTGATGCTGATTGCTGGTCGTCTGATTTTTAACTCTATCAATGATGTAGATTTATCCCGAACTGCATTCGGTTAAAGATTGTGCAAACATCCCAATGCAGGAAATTTTACCTACAAATTACACAGTTGGGATTACACATGCAGCAGCAACATCACCCTAAACCTGCAAAGACCCTCCTGATGAAAGTCTTGAGACTCAGCAAGGCTTTCCTGTGTAAATGAACGTAAATTAAAAAAAACATCGGTTATGGTGACATCTAAACAACGTCATCGATGAAGGCCAAAAGCAAACTATCATCAGCAGATATCAACTATCCACTGCTGGAGGAAGGACTCCCCAAACAATCCCCATCTCTCAAGGTCCTGGGAAGCAGCAAAGGGGAAACCACTTCAAGAATTTTCCCAGGTTCTGGCTCAAGAGCCCTCACATGGTTCCCATGCATGGTGGACTCAAACAGGATGGCACAGAGGGAACTTGAGCCGTGGACCTGCCTTGGACAGAAAACTTTAGAGAGAAAGTAATAATAACAATGCTGTTGGGGCTGTGCTGACCGTGTTGTGGCTCGTTGAGGAGGCCTTGCACCACGCTCTTGCGCGCCAACAGGAAGTCGGCGAAGGCCTGGCGAGGGGAGGCCTCCTCCAGCAGCATGACGGCGCACAGAGCATCCGTCACAGCCTGGTCAGCCACGGCGCGCACCCGCAGCACGGCGCGGCTCTCCTGCAGGATTGCACTCCTGCCGCAGCGGGGCAAGGGGAGGAGCGTGGTTCAGGGCCACATGCAGGACGCGCGAGTCACACGGCCTCCTTCTCACGCCGCTCCTGTCTTCTTGTCTGTCTGCTTCTCTGTCACCTTATGTATCTACGTATCTGTCAGCTTGTCTGTCTCCACGTCTGTAAGTTTGTCTGCCCACTTGTATGTCCGACTCATCGTCTGGGCGTCGTGAGTGATCACCTGAAGTGAGCGGCCGCCGCGGCCTGGCGCGCCAGCAGCGGGAACCGCGCCAGCAGCGGAGGGCACGCGGGCCCGGCCGGGTTGCCCGCCACGCCCAGGGAGGCCATCACGTGGCGGCACAGCAGGCAGAGGCGTGCGGCCTCCAAGTGGCGGCCGGCCTCCAGCCAGCCCCAGATGCGCTCCGGCACGCCGAGCACCAGCCGCACCTGCGCGGCCAGCGCGAAGAAGCGCTCCTTGCCTCGCTCCTGCAAACGGGCGAACACGCAGACACTCGTTCTCCGTAGCCAGCACCCGCCCCTCGTGCTGACGGCGTTACACGAACCAGAGAGACGAAGCCGTCCTGGGACAGCCATGCCCAGCAGTCCCGTGTCTCATGTTGAGGAACTCGGTCGACCAGACTGTGTTCAACCACCATGCAGCAGGTCACAACAATACACTCGGCACACTCCAGGGCACCTCACTTTCCTGATTATTTCCTCGCACTGCCCCACTTTGGAATTCCCTCCCATTATAGCTTTTCCCAAGCTATTACATTTACCTCACTCAATGCAAGAGTTGGGTTAAATCCGATTACAAATTGGATAGTGCTGTTTGTTGACGTTCGCTTGGCATGTGGACCTTTGGTCCTGTGCTCAGCTACGATCTACATGATTCGGAGATGGAACTGTCATCCAGACCATCTTATCCATGCAAAGCAAATACGTGAATTCCACATCTGCTCGTCCACTTTCCTGTCAATCTGCTTGTTCGTCGGCACGTCTGTCTGCTTGTCTGTCCGTCAACTTGTCTGGTCAACCTATCAGTCTGTCTATCCGCTTATTCGTCTGCTTATCGATCTTCTGGTCTTCATGAAGATCGAGCAGCACCGCGACCCGACCCGCAAATCCGAACCACGCCACCCTGCGCGTCGCTCACCGCTCCCGCCTCCTTCGCTGCTCCGCGGGGACTCGAGTCGGGGGTTGCGGACAGGCCCGAGTCTGGCTGCGGGCTCTGGCAGTGCGCGCCCATGTCCCGCACGGCCGCGCGCACCCGCTCGGCGCTAGCGCGCATCCCGGCCATGGTGTCCGCCGCCTCCATCAGGTCGCGGTAGCGCTCCCCCACCATGAGGCGCAGCTCTTCCTTCTTGTGCTCGATGTCGGCCCGCACGGCGCGCTCCGCGCCGCGGATTTCCTCCACCGAGTGCCGCTCGAACAGGGCCGCCGAGTCCCCCGCCGTGCACTCGGCGAGCAGGGCCCGCGGGGTCCCGGGCGCAACAGACGTCGCCATAGCCGTCGCCACCGTCTCGGCTCCCGTTCCGCTTGGGTCACCGGCCACGCGCTTCAGGAGTTGCGCGCGGTACCAGCGGACAACACCTTAGGCGGGGAGGCCCCGGTTCCGCCACGCGAGTGGCAGCGACCGACGTGAAGACCCCGCGTGCGGCGCCGTGGCCCAACGAAGACCGACGCGGACTTAACGATGCTCCCCACCCAACATGGCTGAGCGCGCGCACGCGTAAGCCTGACCCGCCAAGCGACCACATTCCCTACACCTGATGGGCGCGGGACGACGTGGCGCGCCTATGCATGCTGGCAAATGCAATGTGGATTGAGCGTCACGTGGTCAGGGGGCGTTGGAGCCCCAGCCACCTCTCCCACCCCTCCGCACGTTGCCGTGGAAACGAGGTCATGGCGCGGAGCGCGAAGGAGCAGGGTAGCAGCAGCGTCAGCTACAAGTGGCTCAAGACGCAGGCACTGGTGCAGGTGCGGTGTCCAAGATGCACCTAGCCTGGCACAAGCGACGTGGTGACGTCACCGCTACTTGTGCCACTTCCTGTCAGAGCCCTTTAACAAATATTGGACTGACGTCTTCCATTAAACCTTTTTTTCCATCCTGCAAGCCCCGCACTTGATGTGAACTTCCCATGATTATCTTCTTTGGTTCTTTCAGTAAAGTCACGTAGAATGAGAATAAAATAATAAATTGATAAAATAAAATAACAATAATATTCTCACGACGTTTCGGCCACAACACAAGCGGCCTTCATCAGGTGAAGGGGACGACACTGTCTGGAGGACAGCGCTGGAGTGTCCTCCAGACAGTGTCGTCCCCTTCACCTGATGAAGGCCGCTTGTGTTGTGGCCGAAACGTCGTGAGAATATTATTGTGTTATTTTATTTTATCAATTTATTATTTTATTCTCATTCTACGTGACTTTACCTAAAGAACCAAAGAAGATGAATCCTTGCAGTCACGAAAGCTTTAAATCGAAATTTCCCATGATTAATTTCACGAATCGCATTGCTGGTGTGGTGGTGGGGTGTGCACGGGTGATGTGTGATGCAATGTGATTGATGGTAAGATTGAAAAGGCGGTGGGAATGGTGTAGTGCAACAGCAATGAGGTGGTGCGATATTTACATATAATTACAATACAGGGGTTTTTGGGGGGTTAAATCGCTGAAATGTCATTAAAGCCGTCATCACCTGACACAGTCAATTCGTAAGGTTTGCCACGTAAACAGAACATGCCCATTCGTTACTAGTACAGCACACCGGTGTGTTGGAGAGTAATCCACATTTACAATCTGTAATTACAAGGCACCCGATATGTATGTTTCTGTAACCTAATTACAATTGTGGAATGACCGATATAAACTTAATCTGCCAGAGCTCACGCGACAGTTTATTGAACTGAATTTACGTTCGTGCAATGCCTATAATTGTAATCTCTCGTGGTCTGAGTTTTCACCGGGTTCATATAAATACATATGGAACACGTCGATGTTGTGTGTGCTGTGGGGTGATATGGCGATGGTGGTGTGTGCTGTAGGGTGATATGGCGATGTTGTGTGTGCTGTGGGGTGATATGGCGATGGTGGTGTGCTGTGGGGTGATATGGCGATGTTGTGTGTGCTGTGGGGTGATATGGCGATGTTGTGTGTGCTGTGGGGTGATATGGCGATGGTGGTGTGTGCTGTGGGGTGATATGGCGATGGTGGTGTGCTGTGGGGTGATATGGCGATGGTGGTGTGTGCTGTGGGGTGATATGGCGATGGTGGTGTGCTGTGGGGTGATATGGCGATGGTGGTGTGTGCTGTGGGGTGATATGGCGATGGTGGTGTGCTGTGGGGTGATATGGCGATGGTGGTGTGCTGTGGGGTGATATGGCGATGGTGGTGTGTGCTGTGGGGTGATATGGCGATGGTGGTGTGTGCTGTGGGGTGATATGGCGATTGTGGTGTGCTGTGGGGTGATATGGCGATGGTGGTGTGCTGTGGGGTGATATGGCGATGGTGGTGTGCTGTGGGGTGATATGGCGATGGTGTGTGCTGTGGGGTGATATGGCGATGGTGGTGTGCTGTGGGGTGATATGGCGATGGTGGTGTGCTGTGGGGTGATATGGCGATGGTGTGTGCTGTGGGGTGATATGGCGATGGTGGTGTGCTGTGGGGTGATATGGCGATGGTTGTGTGCTGTGGGGTGATATGGCGATGGTGGTGGTGTGCTGTGGGATGATATGGCGATGGTGGTGTGTGCTGTGGGGTGATATGGCGATGGTGTGCTGTGGGGTGATATGGCGATGGTGGTGTGCTGTGGGGTGATATGGCGATGGTGTGCTGTGGGGTGATATGGCGATGGTGTGCTGTGGGGTGATATGGCGATGGTGGTGTGCTGTGGGGTGATATGGCGATGGTGGTGTGTGCTGTGGGGTGATATGGCGATGGTGGTGTGCTGTGGGGTGATATGGCGATGGTGGTGTGTGCTGTGGGGTGATATGGCGATGGTGGTGTGCTGTGGGGTGATATGGCGATGGTGGTGTGCCCCGCAGTACTCGGACATGGCGGATGAGATGCGCACGCGGGCCGTAGATCTGTGCCTCAACGCCTGCGAGCAGTTTACGAGCGACCAAATGGTGACGACACAAGCTCCCGACCACGATGGCAAATTGTGAGCTCCCGCGCCGCAGGAGACACCACTCTAAACAGCCTTATGCCCCCCTTGCCCGTAACGCAGAGCGCAGCCAGGATTATCAAGGAGAGCATGGACAAGACGTTTGGGTGTTCGTGGCACGTCGTGGTGGGCGAGGCCTACGCGGTGGAGGTGGTGTACGAGCCGGGCAACCTGCTCCACTTCTACTTCGGCGGCCACACGGCCGTGTGCGTCTGGAAGTGCGACTAGCGGGGGCCTCTACGCACCCCGAACACGAGACACTCGCCATGAACACCAGACACTCGCCCTGAACACGAAACACTCGCCCTGAACACGAAACACTCGCCCTCAACACTCGCCCTCAACCCGAGACACTCGCCCTGAACACGAGACACTCGCCCTGAACACGAAACACTCGCCCTGAACACCAGACACTCGCCCTGAACACGAAACACTCGCCCTGAACACCAGACACTCGCCCTGAACACGAAACACTCGCCCTCAACACGAGACACTCGCCCTCAACACGAGACACTCGCCCTGAACACGAGACACTCGCCCTGAACACGAGACACTCGCCCTGAACACGAGACACTCGCCCTGAACACGAGACACTCGCCCTCAATACGAGACACTCGCCCTCAACACCAGACACTCGCCCTTAACACGAGACACCAGCCCTGAATACAGACGCGAGCCATGAACCATAAGCTCTAATCCTGGGATTCACACTTTCGCACCTCCGATGAGCAGTTGGCTACGTAGGGTGAGAAGGAAGTTAAACACACATCCAAGAGTCTTTTCACAAAGGTTGGACCCGGCGACGTCTTCCATCAAACCTCTCCTCTTTCCCACTCTCCAGCCCCACATTTGTCGTGACGTTCCCATTATTTATTTCACGAGTAACGTTAGAGAACATAAATATATCTTAAACAAAGTATAGGCATCGACCACAGTGGAGCCACCATCTCCCTGCTGCAGGCTTTTGGTTCAAGAGCTTACGCCCATCGTGCGGTGCTCACACTCGCTTGGCGCTTGTAAACATTTATTGATATCGTTACAGGTTTGAAATGCAGTCGGTTATGGTGCTGTCTCTTCTAAAAGTTTGCACTTTATGTTAATAAATACGATAACACGTTCATAAAATCGATCCGGCCGTAAAAACTGGAGCAGGGTGAAACGCATAGTTCGTGCCCACTGCTATGAATGGCCAGAGACCTCTGCAGGCCAGAGCCCACTGCAGGCCGAGGCCCGCTGCAGGAGCCAGAGGTTGCCGATGGCCGGGGCCCGCCGCAGGTCGGGACTTGCCACAGGCCGGAGCTTGCTGCAGGTCGGGGCCCGCTGCAGGCCCGAACTCTTCGCAGGCCGGAGCCCGCTTCAGGTCAGAGAACACTGCAGGCCAGAGCTTGCTGCGGATTGGAGCATCATTATGCCAGGAAACACAACTCGGATCATTACCACTTCGGTTCAAGTGGATGTGCAGGCATTGTATATGTACAGGCCATGATTTATTGCAACGATCATGCAGTAACCGCAGGCAAGGGTGCTCACATGGCATTCAAATATTCAATACTTAACGCACAGCTTACCAAGCCACATGCACGCCATGGCCTACGGGGAACGTCCTCGCAAGCAAGATGCCTGCTTAACATGTAGGCTTTCGCGACCAATATTATTCATCTTATGAAAGATGCCTGCTGCCAACATTGGATTTAAATGCAAGGGTGGCAAACGTTGCGTCGCGAGGCTGGCGAGGCTGACGAGCGTCACCCGCATCCTCCACGCATTCAAGCCGTTTCCCTCCATTGTCCTAAAAACGCACAGCGTGGTCCCAACGGCGATCAGCAACGCTCCCAGCTCCGACGTGGGACACGCGGTGAAGCGTGCGCACACCGGCCAGAATGCCCGGTAGGGAGGCACTGTGAAGCCGTGTGCTTGTCACGGTGACGGTCAGGCTTGGAAGCAAAACAGGGTGGTGAGGGAGGTGGAGTGTCTAGTGAAGGATGTTTGAAGGGGGTGGCATCCCCATTCACCAGTGTCCCCTTCGTCTCCTGGTCTTAAACATCCCAACTAGTTTTGGAGTCGCATGCCTCCTCCTTCGTGCCTCGTGATGTCTCGTGGTTGAAACCCGCGCCAGGGCGCGAAGGCTCAAATTCCACTCGTCCCGCCAGGGGATGGGGAGCGCAACCCAGAATGTTTCCAAAAGGGTGTTCAAAAAAACATACGTCCAGAAATTCAAGCCGTTGTTGATTTTCAGGCGCAGTGCAGAGCTCCACCGTGGAAACGGCAGCCTCAGCATGGAGATCCGTCACAGGGCGCGGCTGTAGTCGGTGACAGGCTTGTCGGGCAGGCTCCGCCAGGGCAGCAGGCTGCGCAGAAGGCCCTGCGCATGGCGGAGCAGCCTCTGGGGTAGCGAGCAGGGCCGGAGGCTTGCCAGCGCCGAACCCACATACTGCATGTAGTCGGTGCAGCGTGGTCAAGGAGCGCACAGGACAAACCACACGAATGAGCGCCATGGCAGCGGTCACATACACCCGGGAAATAGCCGAGATGTGTGATTGTGACAGCCAGCGTCGCGCCACCCGCCATGCGTCTCACCATGCACACAGCAACACATCAGGGGAATTAACAATGCATTGTGTCAATAACACTGTGGCTGTAAAATCAAAATATATAAAAGACGACCTTTCAGGCTATAGGACCGTCAAAGCACAGAGGGAGGCTTTCAAAGGCCGAAGCTCGTTGGGATGTGTATGAGGGAAGTGGGGGTGCTAGTTAAGACTGATTAAGGCGGCTGTCGCCATCCGACCCCCTTTCTGACATGCATCCTCACCTCAGAAAAACCTCACTCGACTCCATGGCAGGAGCCTCTTTGCTCATGGGGGCTTTCAGGCATACTACTAAATTATGACGAATTGTATTTCCAACTGAACTGTCGTATATGAAATGACTGTAGTTGTATCCGAATCGCTTACCATCAATGTGAAGCAGAATGGAGGGTTTCGGTGGGGATGGAGCTAAAGAGAGGCTTCTGTAATGTGACAAGCTAGAGGCGTTTATTCTGTCATCTATAAAGTGAAGATGGAAAACAAGAAGATGAGCAGAGCGGTTGGTCGGCTCCTATATTTTTCTGTTCTCCATTTTTGTACACAGTTTCTCTACGTGTGCTGAGACCATAGTGGGTCTCAGGCCCATCTCATCATCTTCAATATATTCACTGAGAGGTTTAATTTGTGTAAAGGGGGGAGAATATAACGTAAATGTCTATGAAGAAAATGTTAACAAACTTAAATGATGCCGAGGAGTCATTGCAGCAACCGACAGAAAAGAACCAGAGGTGATTGCAGAACTTACTTATAGAAGTGTAAGATAAATACGAGCAAAGGTCATGTACAGCAAGTTCTCTGAACAAATGGATACACCTGTCTGAGACAACTGGAACACAGAAACGAGCGAGTGATCCAATACCAGCGGTTACTGAAGGCAATCGAGACAACTGGAACACAGAAACGAGCGAGTGATCCAATAGCAGCGGTTACTGAAGGCAATCGAGACAACTGGAACACAGAAACGAGCGAGTGATCCAATAGCAGCGGTTACTGAAGGCAATCGTAATCAAAACGATAAAATGAAGAGGTGGAGCGAGAGTGAGGTGGGGGGGCTAAGGGGTGTGGAAGACCGCTTGAGGAAAACTGAAGGAAAAGCAGCAGATCACTGAACCTAATTAAGAACGAGTTTAATCGGTGTGCAGTACCGGATGTGACATGGAACAGAATGGACAATGCAAAGGCAATAGCAGCTGCGGTGTGCATGGAAACACGAAGTGGTTCGCGCTGGAAATGACGAAATACAGGAGGAGCGACTCATGAACCACGTAACGCACAACAGCGGCAGCACACGGCTGATAAGAAACACAAGTGTGCTTGGGCAGGACGCGTCACTGAAGGGATGAAGCGACCACCAACGAAAAATGGCAGCCAAACGAGATGACATATCCAAGGCGAGGTTCACCACGGAGATGGAGCAAATAAATTAACTCATGGCGTAGGAGCAAGATGGATTGTTGCATCGCAAGTTTTGGCTTAGGGAGGCATTCATTCAGCAGTGGAGAGATCACATCTGATAACTGGTCTTCTGATCAGGAATATGCACATTGACCAATATTTTTTCGAAAAGCTGAAAAGTGCACAAAGAAGCATGGACAGGTGTGCAAACATATCGCGAGTCAGTGAGGGTCTCTCCTCCAAAGGACACATTGTGTGTGTGGGTCTGGTTATGGGAGGAAACTGGAGAACCCAGAGCAAACTCATGCAGAACAGGAGGAGAATATACAAACTGCACACAATCACAAAAAGACAAAGATCCCTCAAATAGTCTTGAACAGACTGCTGGGGCAAGTGCAGTTAAGAAAGCACCCTCGAAAGGCCGGTAAGGCACAAGGAGTGGTGTGGCCGGGCCCATGCCTGGGCATATGTCTCCCCAGTGCTGATGTTGACACTACACACCAGGCACTCATTTAAGGCCAAGTTGACCCTACACAGGAAGACTCAGTAACCATTCAAATGTTGACCGATGTTATTGGTTGTGAGCAGGAATCGAACACTGGTCGCTCACTTCGGAGCGCAGTACGCTAATCACTGCACCATCGCTTGCCACACACACACACACTGCAGTACATACAAACACCACGCAGAAAATTGATCAAATCGTGAATAAACCCCAGGCACTGCTTGCTGTTAGGCACGAGTGCTGCTGTTAGGCACGAGTGCTACTGCTGCGCTGCCACCACTCTGCCACCAGTGAGGAGTTTATAGTAAAAGTTTTACCTTGGGGGCAAATGCATAGCGACCAATGGACCCCTTCCGAAACCTTAAATCAGCAGCGCGTAACCGCGGTGAACAACCAGAAGGGCGCAGCAAACTGCGAGGAACAGGGCCACGGGGACCGCCGTGCGGCACAGCCATCCCGGCATGGCCGAGCTTCCGGGGACCGCGGCAGCACCGCCGTCCCTCGCCCCTCCGCAGAGCCGGCGCGGGGAAGGATATACGATTGTCCAGGGTGGGTGCCCTCCGTTGAGGTAGAGCACGTAAGTGAAGCCGTCCTTGAGCACGCCGCGGATCGAGTAGTAGCAGGGCAGGTAGTGGTGCTGTCGGAAGCTGCGGTTCTCGTAGAAGCGGATGGCTGGCGCGTTGGTGGTGAGTACGTGCAGGTACACCGCCTTGCAGCGGTCCTGCGTTGCCGCCTCGATGTGAGCCATGAGGCTGTCGAGCAGAAGTGAGCCTGTGGGCGCAGTCACGCACGCGCGCGTACAGTCACACGCACACGGGTACCCTCATACGCACACGGATCCCCCCGTGTGAACTGCTCGGGCTCTCGGGACAAAGCGGCAGGGAGGTGGCAGTGCTGTGCTAACACTTTCCGCAAGGCGCCTGGGTTCAACTCCTGACCCAGGTGCAGTTCTGCGTGCAGTTCTGTGTGAAGTTCTGTGTGCAGTTCTGTGTGCAGTTCTGTGTGCAGTTCTGTGTGCAGTTCTGTGTGCAGTTCTGTGAGAAGTTTGTGTTCTCCCTCAGGTGTGGTTCTGGCCACACCACCCCCTCATAGGTGTGCCATGCCAGCCGTCATAGGTGCTCACTAACACCATTTGCCCCAACAGTCTGTTAAGGTTGTAAGGGGATATTTGGCCTTTTGCATGTGTGTGTTGCACATGTGTTTCATTGGCATGGTTACCTATTCCCCGGCTGCGGAACTCCTTGACGACGCCCAGGCTGAGGATGTAGGTGACCTGCGTGTCGCTGGGGAAGCTGGACGCCAGCACGTCCGCATCCTGTCCACAGTGACAACACGGAGTCATGCGGAGTCACCCACATCACGAATCAGGGTGATGTGGGTGGTCAGACTTGTGCCTCATAGCAACAAGGCCCTGGGTTCCATGCCACACTCGAGCGCCTTTTTGTATGTCCTCAACCTGCATGGGTTTCCTTCTGGTTTTCCAGTTTCCTCCCATATTTAAAATAAAAACCACACAATGTAATTGGAATTGGCCAAAACATCTCGATGTTGAAAAAAAACCTGAATACAATTTATCATTTGGGATTAGACACAGCAACAACAACGCCCCCCACTGTGAAAACTCGGCAGGACCCCCGTGCATAAGAGTTTTGAGTCTAGGCAAGGCTTTTCTTGGTAAACAAGCGGAAACATAAAAGTAATTAATACTAAGTGCTGATTAGCGAGCACATATCAAACCAATAAGAAGGGGTGGTGTGACGAGCACCATGCCCGGCCATATTTGTCTCCGCAGTGGTTAGGTTTACACACTGCACAAGGCTAACTCGACCTAGGGGAGGCCCTAGACCGGTTCAGATATTCATGACCGATGTTGGCCACGAGCGGGAATGGAACTCGGGTTGTCGGGTTCATAGTGAAGTGAACTTTCCTGGGTAAACAAGCAAAACTCACCTCTTTAAATTGTCCTTTACCCCCCAGCTCTGGATGTATAACAATGGTTCTGTTTATTTCCTGCTTGCCATACACAGCGCATTAGGATCTACGGATGAAATGCACTTTACATACTTTAATTATTACTATTAAAATTATAAAAACAATAACATTGACAACACCAGAGTTTGGGGCCTGCGCACACCGTGTGCTAGCATTAATTTGCTGACTTGATAGGTACGCAAACTCCCGAGGCCATGGGAAGAGTTGGCGTGCGGGGACGCAGGCTGCCACCCGGCACCCCACACGCATCACAGACCCACCTCACGGTGCACCTTAGTCCGGTGCTTGATCTCAGCGACGATCATGCCGATGATGGTGCCAGCGTAGGTGGCGGCCAGGGAGAAGAACCGTGCGCTCGATGTGATGTCTTGGTACCACGAGTGCGGGTACCTGGCAGGGCGCGGGAAGTAGCGTAGAGGTTGGCACGCTGCGCTTCGAACCCTGTGACCCGAATTCAGTTCCCGCTCATGACTCATACCAGTGACGATTATCTGAACAAGTCCTGGGCCTCCCATCGTCGACTGACTCTCAAATGAGTACCTAGTGCAATCTGTAAACATTAGCAACTCGCCTTTTGCCCGTCCAAGGACGGGTGTATTGCAGTAAATCTGAAACTTGCAAGCGAAAAGCAGACCATGACGTGATAGTCATTGCATTAATGCATGTGTAAATTTGTAAGGGCGCGGTGACACAGACCTATTTCATTTTAAGGTTATAATCCCTTGTTCATCATGACGTCCTTTTTACTTTTATGTCTCAATAGCGTTACGGAGATCGCGTGACGTGAGGGTTCTGCCTTTGTAGTGAGGGTTGTAAGTTGATGCTGAGGAGGGGGGAGGAGGCGCCTCGCTCCCCCATGTGGAGTGATGTCAGCCGCTAATTATTATGAATGGGGGGGGTGTCCATTTGGAGGACGTCACTGTATGATTATTAATGAGGGGGGAGGGTGCTCCACGTGGAGTGACGTCACCTGCTCATTATTATTAATGAGGGAGGGGGGGGTCCATAGCTACAAATCCACAGTATAACTGATATTGGCCAAGCATCCCAAAGCTAAAAAAAATACTTGCAACCTACTGAATTGGGATTGGACACAGGAGCAATATCGTCCCCTACCGCGAAAATCTGGCAGGACCCTCCTGGAAACAAGCGTAACAATAAGGTAAAATCTTGACTTAAAGCTTTCGTGACTGCAGGAATTCATATTGCTTGGGTTATTCCGTAAAGAACCTATCTACGTGACTTTACCGAAAGACCCAAAGACAAATAATAAGATACACACTGGCCGGCGGAACAAATGCCGACAGTGAGAACCTAGAGGGAACAGAGCACAGGAGGGGGTGGTGTGGCCACCAGAGCCCAGCCGCCTTTCTCTCCAACACCGATGCTCACACATACAGCCAGCTACTCGTAGATCTATAAGAGACCCAGGACAGGTCCATGTACCTGTAAGCCATCAGCAGGAAACGCAACTCAGTTTCTCGTGCCATACACGGAACAATGCACCACTCCTCAAACTCACCCACTCACTGCTCCACACACTCGCTCCCACACACGTGTGCGCGTGAGTGTGGGGGGCCGTGGCTGTGTGGGGGGGTGCTGGCGCCTCACTCGATGGGGAACCAGTCGCTGCACAGCTGCTTCACGGCGTCCACGTCGCCGGGGCACAGGAAGCGCAGCATGACCTCGCCAGCCACCTCACCACAATCGGCTCGCTCGGCCGACATCAACCCTGCGAACCAGCACACAAGCACATCACACGTGTCACACAACACATCATAAACACAGCACACAGGCACATCACACGTGTCACACCACACATCATAAACACAGCACACAGGAACAAAATACACGTGACACCGCACACCAGATGTACAATCACACAGGCACAACACATCAGACGCACAACACACAACATCACATCCCACATGCACAACACACGTGTCACATCACAACACACTTCACACACACATCTTAACCCTATATCCCAAACTCCACTCCTAGCCATTAAAGCTAGCTTCACCGCTAAGCCCCTATCCCTCGAATTCCACCCCTACACCTCCATGTTTCACCCCTAACCCCGTCCCCTCTATTATAAGCCTCTAACCGTGGAGGCCTAGCTTTGACCCTAACCCGTTAGCTTTGCCCTAAGGTGGCTTGTTGGGTGTTGACTCAGCCCATCATCTCTCCCTCCGGAGTCGATAAAATAGAAACCACTGCATGTGGGGACCGAATTCAACAGTAGTCTCCCTCCATATGAATGTGGGATTTTTCCACAACTCGCTCTCCAGGAAACCGCTCCGACTCCTGTTAATCGTCTGTTAGCTCCTCACCCTAAGACTGTCTATCCACAACCCTATACCCTACCACAATTCTCAACTTCTCACCCTACGCCTATCCGTCTGTTAATAACCCTAACCCTTACACCTATCTCCCCATCCCTTATCCGCCCTAACTATACCTAAACTATACCTCTCCGCATGCCGAGCTTCAACACGAACCCTCTATTGCACCTCCGGCTACATACGGTGCAAGATAATTTCAACAAACGCAAAGTACATACACCCCAACCCTTTCTCTGGCCCCAATCCTCTCCATCCCCTATCTTCTCTTTACCCCGTCTGTGTCCCCCCTATCCCCTCTTTACCCCGTCTGTGTCCCCTACCCCCTCTTTACCCCGTCTCTGTCCCCCCTACCCCCTCTTTAACCCGTCTGTGTCCCCTACACCCTCTTTACCCCGTCTGTGTCCCCCCTACCCCCTCTTTACCCCGTCTGTGTCCCCTACCCCTTCTTTACCCCGTCTGTGTCCCCTAGCCCCTCTTTACCCCGTCTGTGTCCCCTAGCCCCTCTTTATCCCGTCTGTGTCCCCTAACCCCCCCCATCCCCTCTTTACCCCGTCTGTGTCCCCCCTATCCCCTCTTTACCCCGTCTGTGTCCCCTACCCCCTCTTTACCCCGTCTGTGTCCCACATCCCCTCTTTACCCCGTCGCTGTGTCCCCACTGCCCGCGCCTCGGGCCCCGGGACCTCTCAGCTCCCTCAGCAGCAGCAGCAGCAGCGGGGCCCGGGCCGCGCCGCCCCGAGCCGCGTCCCTCCCGGCATCACGGGGCCCGCGCGGCCCGCGGATGGGAGCCGAGGCCTGGGCCGAGTCGGGCCGAGGCGGGTCAGTTGGGGCCGGTATCGCTGTGCCCGGGCGGCCGCGGCCTCCTGCTCCTCCTGTCCCCGCGGGGTTAAACCCGCGCCGTGTAGCGCCGCATCGCCCGGGGCGACGTTCCGGGGCGGCGCCTCCCACAGACGCGCAGCGCCGGTTACGGTGGTGGCTACAGTGGTCGCGGCTGTGGATGTCTCGACTGTAGTGGTGACTGTGGTATTGGTTGAGATGATTGAGACTGTGGTGATAGTTGTGGATGACCCTGTTGGTTTGTGGTGGTGGTGGTTGTTGTGGTTGCGCTCGAGGCTCCCCAGGCCGCGCTGACGTCTCCTCTGCCCCCCCGCCCCACGCTGAATCGACCAGCCGATTCGTATCCAGGCCACAGCGCCGATTCCACTCATCGATTCGCAGGTACAAATCGATTAAGTCGATTCAGGCTTTCGCGTGTGGGCTCTCACTGTGCGCTCTTCCTAGGCGACCCCTGCAGCCAAGAGAGTCCGCTCAGTGTCCCACAACGTGGTGGGTGAATGATGCGGTGATGCACAGAAACTCAACGCGGTGCGTGTCACAAACACCGTGGCCTTAAAATAAACATTTACATAATATTCGACATATTTCCCAAACCGTCACCTCTTTTACACGCTTTTATTTAACTTTTTTTGATTTTAAGCTTTCGTGACTGCAGGGATTCATATTTTACACGCTTTTATTTAACTCTGTTTTGATTTAAAGCTTTCGTGACTGCAGGGATCCATATTCTTGGTTCTTTCGGTAAAGTCACGTAGAAGGGACACAATACGTTATGAGAAGCTTCGGTGTCACTTCCTGGAGTTCTGCCATTACGAGTAGGGTACATTTCATTAAAGCGTGTTTAAAAAAAAAGTATTTTTAAATATGACTTATTATATATACTACTGCCCGGGAGAGAAAACATTTCCAAACTTGTATTCTCTTTAAAAACTTAACGTGCATAAACAAACAGTAATCTATTTTAAAAGCTCGGCGTTCCGTTTGTCCGTATGTCTGTCAACAATTACACAAGAGCCTTTCAGGCCTGAATCGACAAGTTCTAGATGTGGGGGTAAAACGTGATCCAACAGAGTTCCAAAAAGTTGTTCACCCCCCCCCCCCCCAAAAAAAATATAAAAATGTTGGAGGCATATATGCCTCCACACCCTACATACAAGAGTCAGTAGTTTCTGCAAACATTTGAGGGCGCCGAGAAGCAGCCCCCCTAAGGAGCTAGAACAAGGGGGCCGTAGGCTGCCCGTTCTACATTAGAAGCTGTGCAGTCTCTTGTCTCCATGCATGCTGTTCGGGAGGTAGGGGGGCAGGGATTGAGTCGATATGTGTGTGAGAGGATGTGTGTGTATGTTAGTCCACACACATCCTGCCACTAAGAGATGGGGCCTTACCATCAGCCCCACCAAAACTAAGCACCTGCCTGGGTATTTTGTACCATCGGACACTCCACCCCCACAACTCCCAATCGGTGATGGGGCAGTTGTGGAGAGAGTGGAGTTTCCCATACCTGGGCAGTGTGCTCATGACCGGTTCCAGTTTAACAGCAGAGGTCTCACTCCGAATCAGTCGAGCGGCAAAATCTTTTCATCGGTTGCGTAACGCTGTGTGGAAGCTACCTGGTCTGTCGCTCCGCACTAAGCTTCAGGTCTTCTCGGCCACGGTCATTCCCTTCTCTACGCTTGCGAAACGTGGACCCTCTTAATGGAACATCTTCGCCGGTTAGAAACATTTAGGCTGGCCTGCCTACGATCCATCCTGGGTTTAACCAGGCTGGATTGTGTGAGGAGCTCACAAATCCTTGAAAGATCTGGGCAAAGTCCCATCGGTGAGCTCCTCCGGTAGGCAAGGCTGCGTTGGCTGGGCCATGTAGCCCGCATGCCCAGCCACCGCATGCCGAAACAGCTTTTGTTTGGCCGGATCGAGGGGGCTTAACGGGCGCGGCACGGGCTAGAGAAGAGATGGAGTCATGTGGTACAGGAGGACGTGGAGCTGAGTGGACTTGCCGATGACTGGTACCAGCGGTGTCAAGTTCGGCCTCTGTGGAGGAGGCTCGTGAAGGACACTACTGGGCAGTTGGAGGCAGTCGCCCTCCAACAACAACGGAGGGTGGAGGAGCGACGCTCACAACAACGAGCGGAGCGCCGGGTGGCTAAAGCACAGCAGGTTGGCACAGTAGGGGGCACAGGTGGTGCACCAGCCAGTCATCTCAGTCAGTCGACCCGTGGCACCTGGGTCTGCCCCGTGACCTGCTCGCAGGCGTTCGACACTTCACGTGGCCTCAAGGTGCACATGGCCTGGCACAAGCGTCGTGTTGACGTCACCGCCACTTAGTGGCGAATGGCGGTTGTTGTGTGTGTAAGTCCATGTGTGTGATTCCATATATGTGTGTATGTGTAAGTCGATGTGTTCGTGTGTGTGGGTTGATGTCTGTGTGAGTGTAAGTCGATGTGTGTGTGTCTTTTTTGCCCGGGCAACACCGGTTCCTTCCCGCTAATCTCTAATATATCTCTATGGGTTCATAGTTTGGGTTGCATGTCAACAATGACATGAATGTAGCTTGTCTTGAATCTTTCATTTATGGAGATGTGGTTCAGCATCAGCCTGTAAGGAGGAATGTCAAACCGTTGAGGTGCGATGTTTGGATCTCATATGAGGTATTTATACTGGACGTCCACGTTGTTCCACTCTGTTCACCAGCCTATATCGCACTTATTCATGAAGATGGCCACATTTCCCAAAACTGGACCAGAGCTTGGGCAATTGTTGGCGCCTGTTCTGCCTTCCCGCTTGTCTGTGGTTTCCCGTGTCTCCGTGAGAAGACTTTTGGACACGTTACAAATTCTACGGCAGCGTGTTGACCTGTCATTTCCACCTCCAGGGGGAGAGGTACGGGGAATGCCTGGAGAAGTCCCGTGAGAGTCAGGAGACACTCATTCAGGCAGCAAGACTCCTGGCCTTCCATGATTCACGAATACTGGCCTCAGCTTCTAGCTTAGTTCCCCTGAGCACCTTGTGCAGTCACATAGCTGAGGTCACCACCCATCTGGGTTGGACCCAGTACACTTCAGGAATCTATGTCTGCTGTCTTCAGGGGGTAGGGGGGGCAGGAATTGAATTGGAACCGAGATCTGGAGCTGGTGACTCTTGAACTTTATTACAGTGAACTGCACAGTAGTTCTGATATAGACCGAGGCTGACTGAGCCACGTGTTGGGGTTTGCTCTGTGTACAAGGTGGCAACCCTACCGCTGGGTCAAAACTTGTGGTTGGTCCCAGGCTGTCGAGTCACTTAGTGTAAACAAACCGTTTCATGTCAGCCAGCTCTGGTCACACAGAAACAACTCACTAACAAATGATTGGCAGTTTCCAAACTAAGTCGATATAAACGGCACGTTTAAAATGTTTCGTGCAACTGGCCACACGTCAACGTATGGTCAACATGAGATCCACAAATCGTAGCCAACACAACAGTAACACAATGAACCGCATAAAAACCAACTTGAGCACGAAAATTCTTCGTGTTCTCTGCACATGGCCAGTGAGCAGTGCCACCTCGAACCATTTCGCAGTCCCAGCCCTTCACCTGGAGCCCCCCACGCCCTTATAACTCGCGTTGATTAAAACTCATTGCACTCTTTGTTCCTCCATCGCTAGGAACCCGTGCTCCAAATTATCCACCATTATCCTGAACCCCAAATAACACTGTCCTTGATCATAGCCATAGCCCAGACCTATCCCTAACCCCCTAGGCCTTAACACTATCCCTGACTCCAACTCTATCCTCAACACTTCCTCTAACCCGTTACCTGATACAACCTCTAAACTGCAGAGCGCCATGGAGTAAGATCCACCGCTACACACGAATATAAATGCACGTCATGGTAAGGACGTGGATCGTCTGTTTGTTCATATTGTGACTGACATTCTCCATGGGACGCGAACTAATATTCTGCATAGAGTGATAGAATCCGCCATTTTGTGAAAAATAATCGTAGCATCTGGCACAGTTCCGCAAACCACTTCGCGCGGGCCTCGACGAACCTTCACCGGTCGTTCCACGGCCCCGAGTCGGCGGCCACTGGCCTAGTGCAGCATTAGGACCTCGAGTCTCTCTGTCCAGGCACCACAATCAACATCACTGTGCTGGCTCAGCTATCTGCGTTTTCCTGCCCGTCTGATGGTCCTACTGCTGATGCTGCTGCGTGCTGATGACGCCGCTGCTGCTGTAGCTGTGGACCGTCGCGGCCGCCGGGCCCCGTCAGGAGGTCCAGGTTGACGAGGTGGCGCATGGTGGGCCGGCCGTGCGGGCAGCTCCACGGCTGCTCCATCTCTCCCATGTGCAGCAGCAACCGCCGCATCTCAGTAGCGTTGAGCGCCGTGCCGATCATCACCTGGAACACACGCGCAAACACCGGTCACCGGTCCAGAACCGGTTACTGAGTTGCGAAAGTCATGGCTAAATTCTCCGGGTGCTCCAGTTTCCTCCCACTTCTATAATAAACACTCAATGACTGAAAACATCTTAAAATAAAAACCCAATGCAGGACCCTCCTGAAAGAAGAGTCTTCGAACTCAGTGTGGTTCTCCTAGATAAACAAGTGATTATAAAATTTGATAAAAGAACGAGAGGACCGCGACAACGGGAACGATCGTCACGGCGGAGGCGCGACTCCTCACCGACTTGCGGCACGCCTTGGAGGCGAGCATCTGCTGCACGCGCGATGGCCGACACATGACGCCGGGGCGGTCGCTCAGCAGGAAAACAAGCTCCTCCACGTCGCTCACGCCAAACATCCAGCCGCGCTGCACGGGCAGTGTGGTGAGACGCACGCGCTGCGTCGCTGGGGCTGCGATGGCAACAACGGCAACACGCGGAGTCACCGAGGGCGTCACACGTTTGGTGTTTGCCGAATTCCGTACAGTGGGGTGAGGGTTGTAGGGCGGCGGCGGTGTGCGGTGGGGTACCTTGCTCGTCGATTATGAAGTCGAACCCGTTTTTCCTGAAGATGTCGAGGTTCTCCATGAGAACGAGCTCCCCCACGGCCGTGAGAGGCAACTTCAGGGGCCTAGAGACGTGCGCACGGCCACGCAGAGACATACAGACCAGATGCATGCATGCAGACACGTGCACATATTTGTGTGCGCACATACACATTAAAAGTGAAATCTGTGTTTGGGGAATTAGTTTGACACCCCAGAGCGCTGCTCATTGGCATTTCTGATGCATCACACCTATTTGGTTGTTTTTGTCCCGATTTCTATTTGCTTCATTGCTGCACTTTGTTTTGCTTTTATATGTTGGTGACCCAGGTCACTCTTACAAATGAGACTCCTACAGCGCTCTCGAGTTTTTGCCTGGT